AATTTAAGAAGAAAATGAGATACTAGCATGACAAATTGTACCCGGCTACCAAATGGACTAGGGTTTATACTTTTTAGAGTCTTAACATATTTTGGCTGCTTTCCAATTTCAAAACTTGGCCATCAAATTATTCAAATAAAAAGAGCATAAACCCATATAGTCTCCATCATCCAAATCAGATTGCTTGGTCAAAAGAAAGAATAGAGGATAAGTCCCAGGAATACTTTTTAGTGGTGACATTGAACATGCATGGCATTGCCCAAAGTTTTTCCTTTTCATTCCCTGTTTCCCCCACCCACCCATCAAGTTTATAAAGAAGGGATTAGATTTTACAACTTTGTGATGTATCCTGCAACCATTTAATATATACCGCATTTCAATTAAAGATTCGTTTGTTTTGACAGAAAATATATATAATTCTGAAAAAACATACACAATTGTAAAAATATATTTTCTTTGTGCGTTTTTTTACATGAAAGATTACAAAGTAAAGAAAATTAAGAGTAAGGATATAAAGGAAATTGTTTTTCACCCGCTAAAGGTCAAACAATAGAAAATGTGAAATCTTTTCCGTCAAAACAAACAAAGTCCGAGAGTTGATAAAGAATGTTTGGCTGTAAGTTCGTTTCTTAACTAGCTTTCATGCCTCTCCCTTCAAACAAAATAACGTTCTATATGATAAATTTTTTTGCCTAGCCTTCTCTATTTGTAGACAAAATTCAGTTGGTATGATAACCATAATATCCCAAAAGTTTAATAACACATTAATACTTCCATCTCATGCATGTATGATGGAAGTAACAAGATATAATAATAAAGCAAGATAATCAAATCTCAACCAACTTGTTAAAAAACAAAGAAGTTGATGAGACTCAAAACTAATCTAGCTCCAAATAAAGTATCACATCCTCACATGCACTACGAAACCAAGATTATTCTGGTATAAAAGTAACTTATTAGTGGGTGATTATCTGTTAATCACATCTTAATCCTTTTTTTTTGTTTTTTGGGGGGGGGGGGGGGGTTCTAATAATAATTCTGATGTAAAGACTCCCTTTGTTTTTGGGTCTAAATTATTATCATCTAAAAATTGTTAGCTAGCTTAATTGTGATTGCTTGATTAAGCCATCTTTTGGCCTTACTTTCTGGCTTTGTAGAAGCCTTTTTGACAATCAATGATAAAATAATTTTTAGATAAAAACTTTATCTTAAATAAGATTTGGCCACTTATAATTCTTGGTGCATGAAGCAGTGTAACTTTGTGCAAAAAAAAAAAAAAAAAAAAAAAAAAAAAAAAAAAAAAAAAAAACATGCATGGTTTAGTTTTTATTATACAGTGTATGATATGGTTAGTTCATCCTTCCTTATCAAGTTAACTTTGGTGACGTTGGTTTTGCACTAGTTGTACATTGTTTATTTTGTCCGATACTATTAGTTCCCTAGATAACATTTTTTTAATCTCTCTTTACTACCTTCGTCTTTATGTTCTTCTTCATTCTTGCTATATAGTTGTAGCCTTGTAGGCAGATCTTCAATCAATTATCATACTACACTACGCTTGAAGAAGATCGAACTAGCACATATCGTACACGCACCAAATATCGGTGTGTTTCTGGAAACAAAATACTCCTCGGGGTTGATATAATAATATCAAGATGTCTTAAGGCTAAGTCCAATAACCGTCCAAACGTCCTTCGGCTCCTCCTGGCGCCTGTCTGAGAGCTCGGCCTGTAAAAGAGAGAAGGTTAACTATCCCGGGGGTGTGTCCCGGGAAAGCCCTTCTAATGCTTAAGTCAGCGAATGTATTTTCTAGAGATAGAAAGTAGCTAGAGAGAGTGTGTGTAATTTAGAATGAGAAAATAGAGAGAAAAGGAGAGAGAATTAGGAAAAAGTTACATCATTAATTATTGGAAAGCTATTTATAGCTATATTTCAGGTGGCAAAAGTTGTACTTAGTTGGACATATTAGGGGTACGGTAAATATGTACTTTGCAATGACTAATGATGGGCTGGATCATGGAGGGGTATCTTTGTAATTCCAGGTCAATGGGCTTAGGACAATGGACTTGGCCCAAACAGTGCATGTGTCATGCGTGATTATTGTGTAGGAGCACGTATATGTATAGGGTGTATCGTGTATGATTATATTGAATTTGCAAAAAATTTTACATAATTGATAATACATATGTGACAAATTCTTTGCTATCAAAAAGGTATTTATTTACCACCTTCGATTTTTATTATTTGCAACTTTGGAATATTTTATGTCTCACTAATAATACCCCAAACTTGTAAATAATAAAAATCGGAGGTAGTATTAGATTTTTATTAGAGGATTGGAGAAAAAAAAATCTTATTTCCTTCCATTTTTTTCGGTACAACTTTTGCCACTGAATAACATTCGAACTAATGATATTTTATAATAAATTATTTGAGCTCGATCTCCTTAGATAACCCTCCATCTATCATTCTAATAATACTAAAATACAACATTAGCTAGGATGCATGACGAGCTTACTTAATTTTAATTATTTCTTGAATGAAGATTATATAAAACATAGAAATTTACTAAAATATATTATATATATGAGCTCGATCCTCTCGGACCTTCGATAATGCTTCCTAATACAAAAGAACAAGATTAATTAGGATGAGAACGAAGCTTACTTAATCTCTAAACAATGTTTATACGTGTATAAGATATTTGCATGAGGCTGCCGTCAAATGAAGGGTCAAATTGGAGATCGCGATCATAAACATGTCATCTTAACTTTATGTTGTGTAAATATATTACACAATTTTTGTTTTTACACGTTATTAGGTATCTTTTATGAGGGAGAAAAAGACATCTTTTTCTTATTTAAATGTTATTGTTGATTAGCTTAACATTTTATAATCACATACATTATTAAAAATAATAACGTGATAGTATTAATTTATAAGAAGACGGAAAGTAATTGCATTACAGTTGATATAATTGTTCAAGATATTATAATTATTGTATCATTAGCATTAAGCTATATCGTCCCGGATATATGGAAGAACTTTTTCATTTTTAAATTTTTTATTATGACAAATTTTATGGCAGATTTTTATATACTTATTAATTTTTTTTAAATGGAGGAAGGGTAAAGCAATCTTCAAATTTGACAAATCATGCAAATTTCAGTCTAAAAATGTTTGTATCTCTCAAAAATAGTGTTAGAATTACACAAAAATACTCTCAAGATAGATAAAAAAACAAAAATTTCAAATTCATTTGGCATTACTGTTGTTTTTTTTTTCTAGTTTTTTTTTAATCATATATACTGTAATGAATAAAAATTAGTCAACCAAAAAGTGGAAATACCTCTAATTTCTTTTTTCTTGTTTTTAGTTTTCAATTTTAATTTCAAAAAAGAAAAAATAAATTAAAAAACGATGTCAAACAAGCCCTAATTTTTTTTTTATTCTCAAAAATTAAAGAATAATGAACTATTTTTTGGCTCTATCTTCTTGACAAAAGTTGAATAAATAAAAACAAACAAATTAATGACAATAAATGATAACACAATGTTAACTGTTAAGCACCTCCTAGTGTTTGTTATTTGTGCATAACTTATAATTTTTCAGTGGATGCAAAAGAAGTTTGTCCACTAACCTAAACCATAAAATATCTCTGCAATTAAATTTTTAATTAAACCCTTTTAGGTTAATTAACTGGTCTTAAAAGGTTTAGGCCCTGAACTGTTGTCTGTCTGCCTTGTCGGCTGTCTTTGTTTGTTTATCATTCAATTTTATTTAAGGTTTATATTGCATTTCTTGTTTATGAAGGTTCCATAAATTTATTTTATATGTATATTATTATTGCAATTTGGAAGTTCTTGATTTATAATAAATTATATATAATACAAATCTAATTGAAATTATTTCATATATGATCCATTAATGCACTTTTTGTATAAAAGTTTATGTTCAAAGTTTGACAATTAAAAAGATATCGATCAGTTTAAGGCTGAGTCGTTAATTTTCTTTTGTTAATTTTTGGATGATTTGTATAAGGGCCTGTTCTCTTACGTTGAAATTCAGTTCAGTTCAGCTCAGTTCAATTCAGTTCAGTTCAGCTCAGCTCCTAATTTCCTTCTCTTATAAAATATTCATTTCAGTTCAGTTCAGCTCAGCTCAGTTCAATTCAGTTCAGTTCAGTTTAGCTCAATTCAGTTCTGTTCAGTTCAGCTGAGTTCAGTCAATGAGAACGGGCCCTAAGTATGGCTAATTTTGTTTTCATTATACAACTTGTATTATATATAATTTTGAATCTTAATTGAACTGTAACAACTAACAATTTTGGATAATTTTTTGATAGAGTATAAATCCAATATCATGAACTTTAATCATTAGCTTAATTTTTTTGTTTGTTGAATTAGGGTATGTTCACATTTACTGAACTGAAGTGAGACAGTTGAAATGAATAGTTTATGAGAAAAGGAAATTAAGAGCTAAATTGAACTGATTGGAGTTGAACTAAACTGAAATTAAGCTGAAGTAAAAAGACTCTTAGTTCTCTAACATGGTATCAAAGCTAATGTAACAAAAAGTCACGATTTTAAATCTTATGTATATGTAGTAAATCCAAACATCCAGTTTAAAAACTTATTAAAGAGGAAAGAGATTTTTTTTATTTTTTTATTTTTAATAGAACGAATGAAGTATAAGAAAATATAAATTACCCATGAATGGAAGATGTACATCATACGTCTGGCATGCCTTTTAACTCCATTGTAGAGTTCCCATCACTAGCACGTGAAATCAATTAATCACCCATTACCCCATGTTGTACATGCATATGATATGAGCATCAAAAACCTCTAATCTCTTCTTCTTAGATTTCCTTTTCTCCAATATTCTCCATCTTATTCTTTTTTTTATAAACAATACAAATTTTTACATAATGCTCTGTATTTGATGCTCTATATAATCTCAAAAATAATAAATAAATAAAATATATAGAAAAAAAGATAGAAAATAAAATTGGTAATTGGTAAGCAAAGGAACATGCATCTCCTCATCTTTGATGACAAAGCAAATGTCTTTTCCTTTTTTCTATTTCACCAAATTGCACAAAACCATATATTCTAGGTCTCTTTCCCTTTTTCCACTTTATACTACTTTCTTTCTTCCCCACCTTCTCTATATTCACCTTTCATTTTTCATTTTTGTACTTATAAATCTTCTTAAATCATTATCATTTCATTAATTTTTTATAGCTAATTTATTGCAAATTCATTCCTATATTTTTAGTTTTCTTCCCAAAAACCCACCAAAACCCTCCTCATGGCTAAACTTAACTCTCTATACCTCATCTTGCTTCTCTCCATAACCATCTCCAAATGTGGTAAGTACATTTATCTTTACTTTTAGTTTTCGTACGAGAGATATCTCACCGTGCAAGATCAATTCAATATGTTACATGTTTATTAGATTCAACTATCTGTTGCAGATGTCGTATGATAATATTTCATTAATGAATCGATTTTACTATTAAAAAAAAATGGAATTATTATGTGTTTGAAAAGTTCAAATTTACTAAAAATAGTAAATTTCTTGCAGGAGGAATTATGGATTCAGAAACAGGAAAAACACAGAGAATTGTCAGAAGATTAGATGATTCTACAACAAACCCAGCAAATTTCCCACCATCTACACCTTCACCAACAATTATAACAGTCCCTGCTTCAAACCCTACTACCCCAGATAACAACCAATTTCCAACAACACCACCAGCAACCACAACAATCCCTGCTTCAACCACCCCAACAACACCTACACCCATCACTAATCCTGCAAATACCGGAAACGTCCCGGTATCAAACCCGCCTAGCCAGCCCACAGGTGGTGGTAGCACAGGGCAGAGTTGGTGTGTGGCTAATAGTGGTGCATCAGAGACTGCACTGCAGAGTGCATTGGATTATGCTTGTGGAAATGGAGCTGATTGTTCAACAATTCAAGATGGGGGTAGTTGTTATAATCCTAATAGTCTTGCTAATCATGCTTCTTATGCATTTAATAGTTATTTTCAGAAGAATCCTTCACCTACTAGTTGTGATTTTGGGGGTGCTGCTCAGCTGGTTAACACTAATCCTAGTAAGTTTTTTTCATTTTAATTTTTTATGATTACTGCAAAATTTACGTTTGTTTGATGGGGTTGATGTCAATTAGCTTAGTTGGTAAAGTTTTAGCGGTACCCAATATTCAGGATCAATTATTGTCTACATCATTGCTTTTTTGCGACTTTCTATAAACCCAAAAAAGAAAAATGAGTGCTTTACTAATACTAGTAAGTAGTAAGTTTTGGCACAAGGGTCTTGTTTCTGCATCATTTATGAGTGTGTCTACTAATCTTAGTGAATTTCAAGCTAAAGAGGGTTTAAGAGATATGAATCATGATTTTTGCATCAATTGTGAGTGTGAACTAATCTTAGTATGTTCTAATGTGGGGATTTGGGTGTATGTATAGGTACTGGTTCTTGTATCTACCCTTCATCAGCATCCGGAACTGGAACTGGAACCGGAACAGGAACAGCTATGCCTCTATCAACAACTCCTCCAACAACAGAGACACCTTCTTCAACATTTCCAACACCGACAACAACATCCTCACCCGGGACTACTGGAATGCCATATGGGAGTCCATCATCAAGGTATGCTATCATATTAACTAACTAGATCTATATACACGTGATGCATGCTTCAAATTTCATAAATATGTATGAAACTGTGATAGAGACAGTATAATAATCATTTGAGTTAATACTTTTTATCTTCTTATTATATGCTTGCAGCACCTTTGGATCACCATCATTCTCAACTCCAGGCAACCCAAATTCACTGTTTCCTGCAAGTTATGGACCTGATAGCCCTCCACTTGGATCTCTTCCTGCAGGCTCAGCTGCTCTGCGACCCGACTTCTGTTTCATCACCCTGGTAGTTTTCTACTTCACAGGAAAACTAATTCTGAGTACATGAGTTTTTTTATTTCAAGTCAGAAGGTTAACAAGGATCCTAGCTAATGGTAAAAGAAACTTATGCTCTTGTACAGATCTTTTAGACCTATGAGATTGAGACAATGAAATATGGTAGCGGTTTACAGAATATTAGCTTTAGGAGTAAGTACTTAAAGAGTGTTAGTAATCAGAAATCCAAACCACAACTTCAGTTGCCATCGTCTCTGAGATAATGAGTGCAGTTTGTAGGGAAGAGAGTTACTATATGAGATGCTCTAGATTAGGATTAGCTAGATTCGCATCAGCGGATTTAAGATGTATAAAGGAAACCCATGATTGTAGATTCACGAGAATGTATTAGAAGTTGAGAGTTTTCGTGTTATAATACTTCAGATTTCTGTTGAGGCAGATATTGCTTATGTTATTCAGCAATGCATTTGTTCAGGTAATTGTGCCTACACATTTCTGATTAACACATTTTGCAATGTTTCACTTCACTGCACTTGCTCTGAGATCATGAGAGGTTTAAACTAATCTACACCCTCTATGATCATTAAAGATTTGATCAGAGTTGTCTCAACGCAAATCAAGTCATAAACTTGTAGCGTCGCTTCCATGTTCAAGTAAAAGATATGCAGTAAAGAATTCGCCTTGCAGTTTCAGAGAGATGGTAGATTGGTGATCTAGTATAGAAATGACAGTTACCAGCATTAATTTCAACATTAGCACATCAAAACTGTCAGCATATGAAATAATCAGACAAATGAAACTGTCCTCATCTAAATAATCAAGAAATTTATTTTAAAAAAAAACCTTGGGTTCCCACATGCTAGGCAGGTAGAAAACAGGTTTAATTTCATACCCAACTTAGTTGACTGTTTCATGAAGTTTCTTTGTTCTCTTCTCAACAACAGTCCAGCAGGCAGCAGAGAGAGATTCCGAAATGATAGCAGAATATTAAGGCAATAATTGAAGAGATAATCGAGCTCATAATATTAATTTTCCCTCTAATATATGCTAATATATAATCTAAATTATACATTAATGTGGTCATATCACATGTCTCTGGAATATTCTACTTATAGAGGCATCAAAACGATGCTCTCAGCCGATGTACTAACTGTAAAATGGGGGCAAAAAAAGAGGCATTTTCTTTTTTTTTACAGACACTGAGCCTCTGCAGTTCTTCCTAATACCCTAAAGATGGATTCCTAAGATAAGATTCCCTTGCATTCTACAAACTGTACTTACTAACAGCGATAAACTACCGCCTTGAGAAGACCACCAAGACCAACATTGACATGGAAACCAAAATCTTGAAGTTGGAACTTTCCCAGAAATTATTCTGCTTCTCATCACTCTTTGCTGCAACTTGTTGCTTCATAGCTAATTGATCCCTTAATTCTTTTATAGCCTTGTCCCTTCGCTCCCCCGCCTGCCAGAAGCAGATCGAAAAATAACAAATTTAAGTACAAGGGGCAATGTGCAGAACAGGCAAAAAGAAAACTTTAGTGTAGATCAGCACCACTAAGGCAATGAAAGTGATACTGATCTCTGCTGGAAAATATCAGAATATTTATAGCAATAATAGAAAGTATGCATAATATAATGTTTAGAACTAATGACCAATATTCCTTTTAAAAGAAAAAAAAAAGGTACCGAAGACTGAAAGAGAATCATCATCTCTCTATCCCCAAAGAAAAAGAATGGTGTAAAAAGGAAAAATCAAGAATGAACACTAGGTATGAAAGAGATGGGGTGATGAGAAGAATTTTAAGGAGATTGTTTGCAGATGTTTGCTTGGAATGCAGATTAAGATGACTGGAATGTTTTATTCATTACAATAGAAGGAATTTGTAAATTACCCTCTGAAGTTTTCTTGTTTGAGAACGAGCATCCTGGAGACAGAATTCTAATTTCAGAACTCGCTTCTTCAGCTCTTGATCAGCCTTTCGATGTTTCTCCATCTATTTAGGAAAAAAAACTCCAATTAAAAATCATTATGATTAAAATTGTTTAATTATAAGAGGACGTTTCAACAGCAATGGTCGTCTACCTGTGTCTCCAGATCCTTGACCTTTAGCTTATAATGGGCAGACAGATTCCTTAGCTCGTCCCTTAGTTTGGCAATTTCATCATCCTTTACTGACAAAAGCTTGTTCATATTCTCAACATTTTTGGGTGAAACCTCATCTAATATTTTCCTCAGTTCACAGTCCATGTTAAAGCCAGATTTTGCCATGGCTTCCATGATATCATGCTCAACTCTCAGGACTTCGTCTTTCAGTTGCTTCTGTGAAGACTCCCTCACTTGAAGATCGTTCTGCAGTTTATCTAATTGCTCTGCCAGCCTCTTCACTCGATCTTCATGTTCCTTTATTGCATTATTCTTTTCATCGAGGTCCTTCAGCAAAGTCAAACACTGCAGTTGGGCTGATTGAGCTGAGGCAGCACTTGCATCTGCTGTAGCTCGAGTAATCGTGAGCTGAGTTCTAAGATCATCCAGATCTTTAAGGTACTGCTATGTATAAAGATCACCAGTTAGCAAATAAAAATGTTGCTGAGTTTATAGAGAAACTAATGTCTATAAAGATATGCAGCTAGCAAACGATATAAAGGTACATGCGCACCATAAGACAGCATAAGTACATTATAAAGTGATTAAGATAGAAAATGCAAGATTCTTAGACCAATTTTAATTTTCAAATTTGTCAAAAGCTCTGTTGGATGGCAATAACTAGACAAGTAAATAATACAATTAATCAACGAGAGAGGGATGCACTTAGGGGTGAGCAAAAAATCAGGGTACCCTGAATATTAGAACCACTTTTGAGAAACTTCATCATGCAGTGCCTAAATTTAGCCTCCCTTAACCAGTTAACCCTCTTTGAAGTATTACCAAACAATAAAAAATGACCAATTAGCTACACAAAACTCTGATTAAAGAGTTATGGTGCTCAATATTGCCAGTTTTGTTAAGCCAAATTGTTATTAATAAAATTTGATCAAGGCCACGAATTTAAGGGCAAGTAATTAAGTTCTCTTGCTATTCATCATAAAGCATTTAGAATCATTGTCCTTCGAATCCAAAATAAAATTGTCTTTATAAAAGTTGTGCACATGGAATAAGAAATGTATATGCTCAATAAAGTTACCAAAGTACTCTCCCAAAATAAATTGATAACAAATTTCAAAAGAAGGGTAGAAACAAAGGAAATCTAAAACAACACTTATCTTGAACAAAAAGGAATTAATGAAATTACAATAATTCAGGATCAAAAGGAATACAGGCTGTAAAGCTATTATCCTAACCATGCAGTTGATCCCTAAAGACCTTAGAATCTAGTTTTTCTAAAAGGGTACAGAATTAGACAATAACCCAAGAATAAACAAGCATAGAACCTCAACTAATTTGTATACCCTAACAGTCAAATTCAGCTATGTTTACAAGTTATAAGTTTATAACTCAATTAACAGCAAATACAACATTACAAAAATTCACCAACATCTAGACAGATTATTAAAGTAATTATGATAAGTACAGGAAATTTAGTATTATCACATGGGATAGCTATTTTTTTTTACATAGAATGTTTAAATAAAGACTGTAAGACTACAATTTCCCTCCAAGAATCAGACAACCTTGGCATGTTCAACTTTGACCACAATCTATACTAAGTACCAAGTAATATAATAAAAATCCATTCTATTCACATGTCATTCCAAATTTTAGAAGTCTCGGGGAAAAAATAACATAACACATTCAATAAAATACAGTAGCATATTAATGAGGTTTCCTGCACTTTTTAAGTGACAATCCATCATCAACCTTGATACTTCTAGTCCACTACATGTACTCCTCTTGTATCTCTACCATCAGTTTGATTAGCTACTTTTAATGGTATAATCTCTTTTGTTAAGCTATACAACGGTACAAGACCATATTCTTCTTTGTAGAAAAACATATAGTTGCCTAAAATAGGTATATTGTTACTTGCATCCTATTTACGGGCATTAGATGTATACAGATTCCACACAAGCTAACAACACATTTGCCATTGGGTGTAAAAACTAGTTCCATAACTGAAAAGCAAGGTAAGAAGTAATTGAGCTAAGCTATTTCTATCACAAAGGGATCCCAGAAAAAGAAAACCACCTGTTCACAACTCGCCCCTCCAAACTTCCATACCACAACACGGTAAATTAGTGTTACATAATAGTAAGAAATCGCCGTACAAACAATGAATGTTGCAAATAATAAGCAATGGACTATAAGAGAGTAGTAAGGAATAGTTATAGACTTTAAGCAACATAAACACCCTAAATTTAAAAGGGGCAGAAAATTCTACATTGCACCAAGAAAAATACAAATAAAAGGCGCAATTTCAAAACGCACTTAAGAGTAGAGACAACCTTGAATCAATCAAACCGCAATTAAAGTAAGACAATAATATAATATCAGTTGATACCTACTTGGCAATTAGCTTTTCACATATTCCACTATGAAACACAAAGGAAAAACCAAAAGGATTACCTGAAAAGATAAGGTAATGATGTATGCAAGTTCAACAAACAAAAAACAGCCACAAAATTAACATATTAAAATCACAGTCAAACACATTTCTTGTAATAGACCCAAATTGTCCCAGAATCAAGCTAAAAGCTTTAAACTTTGTATTATTAATCTTGATATACATATAATAAATGAACCAAAAATGGCTAAACAAAAGCTTAACTAAAACGCAGAATCAGGAGAACAATTGGGTTTTTAATGAGTGGTACCTTTTCAGCATATGAAGCTGATGCCTGTAATTGTTTATTTCTCTCATCTAAACTTTTATGTAATCTATACACTTCTTCCTCCATCCCCTTCGCCTTCGCCTCGGCTTCCTATTAAATTTCAATAAACCAAATCAACAGTCATTCACTTGACATGAACTCAATTACACCAATTTCACACAAATTCGATACAGAACACTCAACAAATGAACGACTTTTACGTGATCTGACACGACAAACATGTTGTATACAACACACTCGTTATAGAAATGTGAATCATATCAAATCCAAAAGGACCTACAAAGCAAAAGTACCCCAATTCAACAAAGAAACAAAAAGGGGTGAATTCAAATGAAATGATTTCACTAATCAAAATCAAATTGACATAAAACAAAATACAAAAAGAAGATCCAAAGCCAAACTACATGCCTGCCTTGTTAGGGTTTCTTTAACATAAGATTGCTCCTTCACTGCCAAACGAGTTCGAACCTCCTTCAATTCCGCCGCCAAAGACACCACGTTTCGCTTAAAGTTTTGCTTTTTCTCACTCAAATCCCTTAACAATGGATCAATTTCCCTCCCATTTGAGCTTGAAGATGAAAATGATGAAGAAGAAGAGGTGGGTCCCTCAGAAATTGAACCCATTTTTTTTATCACAAAGACAAAAACCCAATTCAATTATTTCAAAAGCTATAAATCAAAATAATTCAGTGGGTTTTTTTATTTATTTATTTGAATTAAATTGGGATTGGTGGAAGAAAAATGGGAGAGAATTTATAATTTTTTTATTTAAATTTTGTGATTTGGGTGATAATTAAGAAAAAAAAATTGAGTAACAGGAGAAATGAGGGTCGACAAATTAATCAATTTTTAAGGATGCATGTGAATTTGATTGAGGTTGTTGATCTCTGCATTAAATTTATCCTTTTTTTATTATCTTTAAATTCAAAGTACCTGCAACACCAAGAAAGAACGAACGTCAGTTTGAATTAATTAATTAATTAATTCAGATAATAACAATAAGAATCAAAATAGATAGCTTAATTAATATGAGTAAGCCTACGACTATAATTAAATTAAAATTAAAAATATTCACAACTAGCTTGATATTTGTCTAATCTCATTGTATGTAATTAAGTAAACTGACCCCCAATAATTGACACTTAACTTTACTATGTGGTACAACAATGACCATCCATAAATTCCTCTCTACCGCTAACCATGACCTATCATCACTCGGTCTGTGTTCAGCGGTAAGGTAGCGTTTTAGGTAGCAGTTAGCGTTTCCATTAGTTAAGACCACGGCTAACCACCACAAATACACAATCTTGACAACAACAAAAAATGTCTTTTTTAAAAGGGTAGAAATCTTACCGTGAGAAAAGCTCAAAGAAGCATGAAAAATTAAGAAATTTACATTCCAAAAAAAAAACCCAATTTTGGAGATTGAAAAAGATTTAATCTTTGATGAAAATAATTGACATTTTTGTAGGAAGTTTCAAGATTTTAAGAGAAATAAACAGTTGCAGAAAACGGCATGGTTGACACGAGAAAGAGGTGAAAGAAAGAGGAGAGAGAAAATGAAGGAAAGAGGGAGAACTGTGTGAAGTGACAATAAAGGGGGGAATTTTGATTTTGAGAGATTAGGTTCGGGAGAAATGTCCGAACCTTAGGTTTGGAACAAGAGACAAATTCCGAACCTAAAAAAGTGGTTTTCAAATTTTATTTTTATTTTGTAATTGTTTATGAGGGGTATAGCGCGGCAAAATACAAAATTTGGACAATGAAAAGTGGGTTTAAGTTTTTCTCTCTCCTCCACGTAAGTGTGGAAGTGAGCTGTGAATGGTGGGAAAGTGGGTCCCATTAAATGGTGATGTTAAAAGGTGATTAATTTTGCACCATTTGGTTTAAGAGGGATAGCAATTCAAGTTGCGTGTACTTAAAAGATGTAGGGTTTTGGATTTGAACAATGATTTAATTATGGTATGAACTCCGTGTGAATCGGATTGGATTAGATTGGATTACGATTTATTTTTTATACGTAATTGGTAATGGTTCTAATGGATTTATTATGTAATCACGTTTGATTTAAGATTAATTGATATCGTATAAATTTTCTATACAAATTTAATTTAGTTTGACCCATGTGAGGATTTTTATATTGACACAATCGTACAAGCATTGTTTATTGTAGTATAGATGGATGTTTAGTGTTTGTTCATAGAACTATAGAAGTACAAAAAAAGTTATTCGTACTTCTCTAAGCTAGTCTTGTATAATTGAAGGAAAGTTTTCTAGCACGTAACTTTAACAATAATGATAATTTGAAAGTATAATGATGAAATTAACAAGACTCTACAAGATAAAAGATTCCTTACATAAAAATGACAATAGATTATGTGTAAAAAGTACATGTGAAAAATCAATTGTTCCATAAGTAATAAAAGAATTAATATACTCCGTATGAAGTAAAGATCGCAATACCACACATGATTATTTGAATACGTATATTATAGATTCGATGTGGCGATTTATATATTTGTAGATAATAAGGATAAGATTAGAATATAGAAACAAATTTAAAATAGACCTGTGATCATACACACACACATACAAAAAAAAAAAAAAAAAAGAGATATCACATATGATAGAGTACAAAGTAACATAAAAGAATAAAAAACAAACCCATGAAATACGAGTATTTGTACGAGTATTCTTTTTCTCTGTGGTAAGGGTCGAACTAGAATCACTTGAATACGTCGAAGGATTTGTGTATATGTTACCAATTTACCATGCCACCACAAACATCATTATTGAACTTCATTACACTTGATTAGTTGATTTACATAAGTATATTCATTGCAAAAATCAATTAGTTTTGTAATCTAATAAAACCCATGCTCCAATCCTCATTTGTAAATATAATTAACATGCATATTATATGTTTCACAAACAATACCCTTTTATTACACTTAATAAAAAATGAAGGTAGTATAAAATCAATGTTGCAAACTTGCAATTGTAGCGAGTGGATCGGAGGAGGTACTTGAACACGCCAAGATTTTAGGTTGCAAGGGACTTAATAAATAAAATATACCGGTAGGAGCATGTCATAACATAAAATAAATTGAGACATAAAATAAATTGAGCGTCAGTCGTCAGTAGTCGTCATACGAACTGAAGCTTGTAAATGTAATAACTCCATTCACGCCATGCACGACGTTGGGTGATCTAATACTAACTGTTTAACTGCCCCACCATTTTTTTTACTTTATTTTTCTTAAAATTGTTACATTATATGAACAAAATTACAAACGAAACATTATTAAAATTATTTATTATATTTTTTTTTGGTGAAGAAGAGGGGCAAGCCCCTAGAAGAAATTTATTATATAAGTATGAGTGTATTATTATTATTATTATTATTATTATAATAATAATAATTATTATTATTATAGAAAATACCAATTTGCCAATGCCCCAATAACAACTCGTCATAATGGATTAATGGGACGAGAGGACGGCTAGTTGATGCCAAAATCAGCAAATTTTACGTAACATTCCATAATAATATCTTTTAATGGACTATTTTATATCCTTTTTCATTTTTTGGATTAAAAATATCTATGTTTGTCTTATACTTTATGTTATCACATCTTTAATTTTTTTTTTTTGTAGATTTAAAAGTATTAAGAGAATGTTTTAACTTACTGAAAATAACTGAACTGAATTGATTGGAGCTGAAGTGAAGTGAACTGTTTATGAGAGAAGAAAATTGAAAACTGAACTGGAATGAAATTAAGCTGAAGTGAACAGAATTTAGCTAGAAAGCCTTTTTTTTTCTTATAAAAAAAAAAAAACCACTTAGCTAGAAAGCCTAGAATCATATCATTCATGTTTTTATATTGAAGAAATTTTGACTTTTCACAAATATGGAGTAGTAGGATCATAAGCAATTAATTTAATAAATGAAGTTTAATTATTTGTATAGTGTAATTAAGATAGGAATAGATAATTAGTAGAAGCACGATTAATTTGTGGGGCATTTTTGTCAAAAATATATTTGTGGGACATTAAATGTGGTCCAGTACCGATAGGGGTGAGCAAACCCCAGTCAAAATTTTAGGACCCGGACCCGGAATTGGTTGTAATCGGGTCCTAAAATTCGGAACCAGAATTGGAATTGGTTCAACCGGGTCCTAAAATTTAGGACTTGGAATTGGAACCACCGGATACCGGTTCCGGGTACCCATTTATGTAAATAATTATTAAAATATAATACTTATTTAAGTTTATTTTCATTTTTAGCGTTTAACACTTGTATTTATATGTTTGTTAAGATATTTTATTTATGTTAGGTATTAAAAATAATTTTTTTTTTTATTTTACTAACTAGATACATTTACCATAGTTTTATTTTAAAAATACTTATTTAGTGTAGCATATGTTAGTTAACCGGGTACCCAACCGGTTCCGGGTCCAAAAAATCAAGAATTGGAATTGGAACCGGTTGCAACCGGTTCCTTAATTTATTACCCGGAAATGGAACCACCGGGTCCAATTCCAACTCCAGACCCACCGGTTCCAATTCCAATTCCGATTCCGGGTACCCGAAATTTTTGCCCACCCCTAAGTACGGACCAGTAATATTAGTTGTTGCCAATTAATTTGTACGCGGGCTTGCCTATGGGGAGTATAATCTCAAATATAACTAGTTAACCACCCAGCCACCCTTACTCTTGAATAATCTTTGATGGGATCTCAATACACGTAATAAGATTTAACAGTACGTATTAATAAAACATTTGCGTAAACAAAAGCGTTAAAAGTGAAATTAGTAGAATCCATACAATACTTGCCAACACAACATTTTTATTTTTGTGACGGGAAACATAACATTTTGTTAACTAAATCAGCAGTAAGTGGTAAATCAATCTTCGAGATTAAACTATCTACCAATTTTCAAATTCATTATTCGTACGCTCTATTCTTTTCGTATACCTCTAAGAGAAATCAATCTTTAAATTTTAAACACATTATATATATTGATTCTATTCACATTTACGTCAAACATCCGAGAAAAATGAATTACGAGTAAGTTTATAATTAATCTCGTGCATTACCATGTACATTATTTTGATTTTATGAACCCTACAAGTTCAACAATAGTAGTGTTTTAGGGGTAAAAAAAAAAAAGAGAGAAAAGAAAAGTTGCGAGCAATAGCCTTTTCAGTTATTTCCCTATCATTGTAACACTCAGCGGCTCCTTTTCGCTACCCAGTTACTTCCTGGTTTCTCTACCGCCGAAACGAGAGGCGAAGCAGAATCCTAATAACCTTTTTTCCAGGTTTCCAATAATAGATAGTTTTTCTTCAGTTTTGCTTCATTTCCTGTAAATTCTTTCAAGTATTCATCCATCAGTTTATCACTATAATCGCAAGACAGGTTAGCTTCTGTTTATACTTGATTTAATTGCAATGTTTTTGATTCAGAATGTCTGTAAAGATTGCATCTTTGATGATAACTTGTAAAATTTCAAGATGGGTATTTTCAATTAAGTGTCTCTCTTCAATTTCTAGTGTTAATCATGCTCACAATTTATCAAAATCCACCCAAAATGTGCTAAATAGGAGTGAAATTGATCCTAGAATACAGTACTTGAAGAATGATAATGGGCTGTCCCCGGATAGTTTGATCAAGGTTTTGGATAGTACTCATGATTTGAATTCGGCTCTTAAGGTGTTTAAATGGGCTTCTCTTCAAAAACAGTTTAGGCATACTGCTGAAACCTATTATAGGATTATAGTGAAGCTGGGTTTTGCTGGAAATGTGGATCAAATGGAGGGGTTTTGCAGGGAGATGGTTAGGGATAGGTGCCACGGTGCGGCGGAGGCTCTAGGAGGTTTGGTGGATCTATTTGTTGGTGATGGTAGGTTAGATGAAGCTATTAGGGTAATTTTGGTTATGAATTCTAGTGGGTTTAAGCCCTCTTTGGGCAAATGGAATGATCTTTTAGGTGCCCTAGTAGAGAGGGAGAGAGGTTTTCGTGATGTATTGTTGGTTTATAAGGAGATGGTGAAATCAGGGACTCTTCCAAATGTTGATACTTTGAATAGTTTGATAAAAGCATTATTTGATGCAAAGATGGTTGATAAGGCCTTGGATCAATTTAGAAGGATGAAGAAGAAGAGGTGTGCTCCTAATTGTAGGACTTTTGAGATTGTTATACATGGTCTCGTTGCCACAAACCTTGGGGATAAAGCACTTGGAGTAATGAATGAGATGTTTGAAATTGGCGTGAATCCTGATTTGAGATTCTATACTAGTGTCATACCGCTATTCTGTAAAGAAAATAAGCCGGGAGAAGCCATGAGGTTGTTCGACATGATGAGAACTTTAGAGTTTGAGCCTGATCTATGCATCTACTCGTCTATGGTCAAATGTTTGTGTGTGAAAGACCTCAACAAAGCAACTGAGCTTTTCCACGAGATGAGAAATGCTGGGTTTAGTCCTTCAACTGATGTTCTTGTGGACATTCTATGTGCAACCTGCAAACTCGGGAACCTTGACGAGGCAAGAACTTTGTTAGATGATAGTCATGTTGTTGACCCTGCTCCTTACAATGTGCTCCTTCAAGGTTTCTGTGATGCTCATTACTTCCTAGCTTCCAAAGATCTATTAAAAAAAATGCTAAACTTGGATGTGGTTGATCATCTATCCTGGAATATCCTTATTCTAGGACTTTGCAATGATAAATATGTTAAGCAAGCCTGTGTTATTCTTGGAAAGATGATCATTTTGGCCTATGAACCTGACTTTGCTACTTACTCTGCCCTGGTCATTGGCAATTGCAATTTGTACAAGTATGAGGATGCTCTAAAGCTATTTCGACTATTCAGTGGAAAAAATTGGATACTGGATCCTAATTCTTATGATAAGCTAATAAAAGGACTTTGCAATGTAGAAAAGTTTGAAGAGGCCTCTGAAGTATTCATGTTCATGTCATCAAGAAATTGTTCCCTGCATTCCTCTTCATTCAGCAGTTTGATCAAGGGTTTTTCTGCAACTGGAAGGGTAGATGAAGCAATCAGGTTGCTGAAATATGGTCAAAGTTGCCTGAATCCTGTGAACACAATGACTTATACTGCTGTAATGCATGGTCTGTTGAAACTCAATAGGCCATATGAGAGCCTAACTTTCCTCTCGCAAATTCTAAGGCGTGGTTTGGTTCTGGACTTGGAAGCATATTGCATCCTCATTCAATGCATGATTGCTTTAAGAGAAACAAACTATTGTGTTTTGTTTTTCAAAGAGATGGTTAACAATAGCTTACTCCCTGACAGTGAAACACTTGCTAGCCTTTTGTCTCATTTAGCTGATCACTCTCAGTTACATATAATATGGGCGGCAATAAAAAATATTTGTCAGGAAACTGAGGTTATTGAACCAAAAGTTTATAACTTGATAATTAATGGCCTTTGCAAAGAGGGATATAAATCTGAGGCATGCCAACTACTTGATTTGATGTTGGAGAAGGGTTGGGTTCCAGATGCTAGTACGCATGGATCGCTGATTGGAACTGTCTCTAATCAAGAAGTGGAGCTTCAAATATCAGAACCTGACATGGCCGACAATTCAGTCATGCAGGATGAGGTTAGTAGCATACTTTCTGAGGGATTAGGAGAAGTTTAAAGAACAGCGTACTCCATATAGCTACGCTACAGCTCCAGATTGCTAGTATCTTTCTCTGGCCAATTCACTTGCACCAAAAATGCTGGTAGGTAAGTAGTTTTAAGCCGCATGTATAGATTTCCATTCATCACACGAAGTATTATTTTGTGCTCAGCTACTTTATTTTTTCAACTGTCTGCTATAAATACTTTAAATTTATATCAGAATTAGGATTATATGGCCCTAATACCAATGTTACCACTCTTTAATTACCCTAGATTCCCAAAGCATCTCTGTGATTTGCTTGAATTGGCAGTCCTCGTCTGATGTGGAGGTTAATAGGTTATGGGCCTTGAAGAAGTATGTGTTTTGTCTCTATTTATAAGTTTTAGAAGGTTGTACTTTTAGTTGTGATAGGTTTGATTTGGAAAGTAACATTGTAATTCAAGTTGTTTCATTACTTGGCCTTTTTGTAACCAATGAATTCTGATGCAAAATGATCATATATAACTGGACTCTCACTCTGCAGCATTTGACAAGCGAGCATAACCACTTTCTCTGTGTTATATGGCACTGCCATATGGTTTTACTGGAATTTGCCTACTATGGACTATGGTAATGCAACATCTACCACCCTATGAGTTGTAAGGTGAATTTACAAGAAGGATATGATTGTAAGATCATTTGGACTAAGTTTTTAATGTAGAGAGGGTAGAGGTTCTCTTGTTTAACATGTGACATCAACAGACATTGAGACTTGATTACGTAATCAGTGTGGTGATTTTTTTTTTTTTAGACTTGTATTCTCTGTGCTTGGGCCACAGTGCTCTTCAGAGTGTCTAAGGTGGTTGAGGCATGCCTTGTGGAAGCAGCCCCAATTATGTGACAGTTAAAACTTGATGACAATATCATGCACGTTAACCTTTCAACTTGCATGTAGTCTAGCTCCTTTGTTGGGTGTTGTTTTTGAAATGAAACTCTGCCTTTAAACTTCAAGAGGCTTATATTTGAATCCAACCTCCGTCTTCAGGTATGTTTGCCAAACAGTAAAAACAGATAGTATCTTGTACTGACTGTTTTGGAGACAGATGTTTCATTGTCCATTATATTAAATCGTCAAGACAGATGCATGATAATTACAAGTTTAAGTGTTTCATACGTCCCATGACTGGTTTATAAGCTCTTTCATTGTGTTGATGCAGATTTGGCGCTTAACTCTTAAGTATGGCCAAGGGTAGAAACAGCCAGTTGCTATCAGTCAACCATTTGCCTGTCAATTAGTTGACATTCAGCATTTCAGCCACAGTAAACTTGGTAACAAGGCACTAATCACGCTGATCAAGCATTACATTACTTGTGTTGACAAAACATGTACTCTGGAATATTTCTGGCCCTGAGAAAAGAGGCTAGTCATTCAGTCCATATATTCTTCCTGTTGAAAGTCCAGAAATTGTTCTGTTTATTCCAGAATATGTTATAATTGTGGTAATTCTATAATTTTTACGCTAAAATGTCAATAAAACTATTGTAAATAACATGTGAATAAAAAAAATCATCATATTGTTGTTTATGATCCTCTCGATTTATTCTTTCATTTGGACTTAATCATGTATTATGCCCTCAGTTCACTTTCAGACGGTGTACTTGGATCATGTTGAACATGAGAAATGTGATTATTGCGCGAACCAATAGCAACATCATTTAAGTTCGAAAAATGCTACATTTAGATAAAATTATGTCTACTATCCCACTAAAAAGAATAGAATTCTGTATCCTTTTCAAGTAAAACAGCAATTCAAGACAGATTCTCCACCAATTGCAAAAATTGGATATTCTACTAACAATAGTATTCCTAAAAACACCACCAAATTTGGCATAAAACAGATTGAATTTTCTTTTCTTCAAATTACAAACAAATTTCATCACCTCCATTTCCAACTATAATACAAGAAACCAATCCAGAGGATCATCAATTTACATAAAATTCACTGAATTTTACAAAACAAATTGATCATCTTCATCAACCCCACCAAAATTTAACCTGTAAATTTTCAAAAACAAACACTAAAATTCCTCAACTACACTGCAGTCTCCTTCCCATTACCACTCAAATGATTGTTATTCCCACCATTACTCTGCGGCCCCGGCACCACGGTCACCACTCCATTCCCATTCCCACTACCACCAGCGCCACCGGAACCACCTACATTGTGCACCCCACCATTGGTTTCCATCTTACCAGCCTCATAACCCGGTTTCGAACCCGAAACAAGAACATCCCTCTTCTGGTGTTTAACATTGGGAATCCAATTAGATAAACTCATGACATAATCAATTGCTTCTTTTGCTCTTTTCCTAGCTAATGCAGCATCAGTAGCTTTCCTCTCAGCATCACTCCTCATAATACTCGCCGCCCTACTCATCGACATCGCCGATATCTTCGCCGCCAATAAGAACACTCTCGCCGCTCTCTCATCAATATACTGCTTCATCTCTTCCACCACCTTCGTCGGAGGGGTCTCACCACCACCTCCTCCGCCGCCACAACCACCGTCAGACGGCGGTTGATCACGAATTTTTCTGGGTTTCTTCAAATCAAAGAATTTGAAAGATGGGTTTGAACAAGGAGGGCAAAGATACGGGGATTTCGGGGTTTTAGCATCGATGCACGCGATGTGAGAGGCAGAACTGCATTTCAAGCATGTGAGGATGCGATTCAAGGAAGAAGAAGACGACGACGAAGAAGATGAAGATGGCAAAGATGGGTTTAGCGTTTTGGGGTCATGGAGGTTGAAGCAAAGAGGGCAAAACGACGTCGGATGATTCTTTAATACACACGAAGTGCAGAGTTTTCGACATTCTTCGTCTCGGAATTTGATGTTGTGGAGAATCCAGTGGTCGTCGGAGTTGCAGCCGTAGCAGCCTTTTACGGCGGCGTTGACGGAGGAGAGAGAATGGTGGGGTGGTTGTTGAAGTGGGTTTTGGGACATTGTTGAATTGAATTTATGGCATGAAAAATAGAGGGAGAAAATTAGGGTTTTGGATTTCGAAATCAAGGGGAAAACAGAGGATGGGATGAAATTAGGGTTTTCTTTGTTTTAGGGATTTGAGGGGTTTTTCTTGAGAGGGTGGGTTTGCCTTGGGAGGGAGCTGGGTTTAGGTCACTCTCCCTCTCTCTCTTTCTTTCTTACTCGTTGAGTGATTTTTTTGACTTAGGGAGTTAGGGTATTGTTAAAAAAAAAATTCTTCATTATTTATAGACATAGGAAAATGGTGAGAAAAAAAGGATGCGATCAAATAAGATATTAATTCACTGCATCTGGATATTCGATAATTGGTATGTTTTGATTCGATATTATTTATTTCCTATGATAAGCTGGACAGCTGGTTATGTACAGACTGGTTAGAAATACAGAAAACACTATACTTGCGTGCTATGCAATGAGACCGCTGACACATGTTCGAGTCAAGCCTATTCTTGGCTTAGTCGCTGAAAGAAAGTAAGTTGACTCTTGAATATTGAATGAAGTCCTTCTTCACTCGGATCATGAATTAGACTTAAACCAATATCCTCGGGCCCAACCATCGAACCGAAACCGGTCGGGGAGACCGAGGGATATTTTCTGAATCGCAACCCGGAAAGAAATTGCGCCTTCCTAAATTCGGCAAGCTTTTCTAGCTCTTTCTCTTAGGCCTGTGATGATTATACTGAAAAAGACCAAAGTCGTGGTATTTATTTTACTCAATTTGAAATTGGGATTTAGATGGAATATAATGAAAAAAAGCCATTTTCAGGCTTTTTTTTAATCCAAGTTTGACTCTGATTAGATCGAGGTTTTTGAACAGTACTTCGATAGGGTCGGTCTATCGATCGTAGAGGAATGCCCACGATCCTACCTTTGTTATGATATACCAATTTTGCAGAAGCCTTTAATAGGGATTCTTCAGTCTCTTTGGCGGTCAAGCTACCGACCTGTCTAATCCGATCGTTTAGCGGCTACCAGAAAGATAAGTTGACTACAACCTCTTTTTATTTTCAAAATGGATATGAATGTACAGATGTAATTGGATGGTATCCAATTACATTTATACATTCAGACTATTGAGAGACGACACAGATGACAATATGCTTACGTGTCATGGGTCGAGACCATTGACACATGTCTGAGTTAACACTTTGAAATGGATCTTGTACAAGTACACGACCTATCTAACCGTATCCCACATGATAAGCTGACTTGTTCATATTGATGTCAGATTCTTGTGATGTTATGTTTGTTTGTCACGTGTTAATGCATGCATGATTTAACACTTTGGATTATATTACATTTGTAATTTTTTTCTCCTCATGTGACATTATTATTATTTTTTACAACAGAATGCATTTAATTAAAAACAGGTAACCAAATACAACATAAGGCAACCTAAACTATTGAGGCTATTTAGACCCCTTACATAAGTCACAAACCATCTTATGCGACATTATTGGTACCAAAGAAACATAAACCTTATATGGGTCAATATACATATTGAGCATAAGACAATTATTTACTCTTCGAATATTGATTGTCAAAACTCAAAAGTATATCCAAAAGATCGTGTAAAATGAGATAGCCTTTGTATTGGGACAGAAGAAGTATAAAATAATTACGTGATCCAACTTGGTTCATGGAAGAAATAATAAAATGCTTCTAAATTATAATTGTAATTAATGGAAAAATTAGTGGTCTATTTTAAAAAATTGGTGGTGGGGAAGATTTTGCAGCTGATTATGGAGGAAGGGCCTCTTTTTGGGTTACATCTTAACGTGGAAAAACCGAAGTTTTCTAGCCTACAGAAGACCCCCGAAGCAGGATTTTGGGTGTCTTTCCACCTAACATTGCTCGACCTTCGCGTGGTGTAAGTTGCTTGGGTGACCAAGACCATTGCGCTTATGGATAAGGTTGGTACGCTGGATGATCCTCAGTGTGAGCTATTGTTACTTAGGGCTTGTACCGGAGTTTCTAAACTCTACTTTGCGTTGTGTACTTGTCCCCCCTAATACTTTTGAGGCGGCTTAGCGCACTTTTGACGAGGCTCTTCGATCTTCTTTGGAGCGTATTGTTACTGCTTCAGGACCTGGGTTTGGCGATTGGCAGTGGCGGCTTGCCACTTTACCATTTGCGTTTGGAGGGCTGGGTGTTTATTCTGCAGGTGATGTTCGGCATTATGCTTTTCTTGCTTCTCGGTTGCAGTCTACTGGGTTGCAAACAAAGCTTCTACGACATGCTGACATTGTTGGTCATGGTCGAGCTTTTGAAGACGCTTTGGGTTTGTTTAATGGCGTGGTGGAGTCTGATTTTTTAAGTAATCCTAGTGAGGTCGCTGCCCCAAAACTTATGAAGAAATTGGCAGATATATATTTCACGAAGGTTACCGGTTCTGCAGAATCCACCTTTTCATTATCCCCTCGTCTATCAGCATTGTGGAAATCTCAGCAGGGAGATCACACGTCTGCTTGGCTTCGGGCCGTTCCTATTTCAGGATTGGTTCAGACTATGAATGCAAAGACTTATCGATGTGTATTATGCTACCGATTGGGTGTTCCGTTGTTATCTACCTCGACACCGTGCTCTGCTTGTTCGAGGGTTTTTCCAGGGGATATTTTTGGCGATCACGCTGTGTCGTGTGCTGGTATCGTGGGTATTAAACATAGACATAATGTTGTTCGGGATACCCTAGTTGATGTTTGCTATCGTTATGGGATTTCAACAAGGAAAGAGGTTGATATTGGATTGTCTAGAGGGAACGATGAGGCCCTCAGACCTGCTGATGTGTTACTTTATTTTTGGGATCGTGGTTGCGATGTCTGTGTTGATTTGACAGGATCTTCTCCTTTGACACAGTCAAGACTATCTGACTTTATTCCTTGACGGGTTGTGGCTGATACAGCTCAGCGGAAGCGGGATAAGTATGAGGCTCGTTGTCAGACGATTGGATATGGGTTCATTCCCTTCTCCTTTTCTTCGTTTGGTGAATTAGAGAAGGAGGTTGTTGCGTTGCTTAAGCGAATTCAGAGGTTCTCGACGACGCAAGACATTGGAGCACGTGCTGCAGCTCAAATTTTTACTAGGGTAGGCTTTGCTATAGCTAGAGGAGTGGGGCCCAGATTGTATCTCGGCTTCCCACTAATTTATTGTAGGGTGTATGACTTTTTGTTTTTGAGATATAATAATAATAATAATAATAATAATAATAATAATAAATAAATAAATAAATAAATAAATAAATAAATAAATAAATAAATAAATAAATAAAACTAGAAAATGCACATAAAATGAAGTGAAACGCTAAACATCGCCCGCAATTTACCATATAAAGCCCACAAATATGATATGGTTTGACCATTATGCCCATTTTCTAAAATTGAAATAATCTCGGTGTAAAAAATGTGGAGCCGTACTGGCTCGCTGGGGGAGACCGGAGGGCAGGCCGGAGATGCGGGGGACGCCGGAGGTACGTCGTCGTCGACGGAAAACGAGGTAAGTCACCGTTAAAATTCACGGTTTACCGTCGGAGTGGCTCCGACGCCTAGGATGGACGCCCAAACCGTAGCCTGGACGTCCAAGCCATACGCCAGAACCACCAGAGTGGCGTCCAGCCCAGACGCCCAGACCACCAGACTGGCGTCCTGGCCAGGCGCCACTCCACTGGGTGAGGCGGCCCTGCCAGGCGCCAGTCCAGTGGCTGTGGCAGCCCTGGCAGCCGCCACCCTTATAAATTAATTTTTTTTTTCTTTTTTGATTTTGTTGTTGTTTTTTATTTAATTTTTTTTAAAAAAAAAATCGAAAATGATTTTTTAAAAAAATTCGAAATAGGTTTTTTTAAAATTAAATTTGAAAATTCGAAATGGTATATTTTTAAATTTAGTTTGAAAATTCGAATTGGGTTTTTATAAAAATTAAGTTTGATTATATATAATTATGCTTTTTTTTTGTGTTAATTCTGTGTAAATATAGAAATTAAATGTATTATCCGTTAAATATGTATTTATTGTAATATATAATTGATGCAGGAATATGGTGGAGACGGAAATGATTACAGTGGGATATTTGGACATGATGGTCCATTCGAAGAAGCTCAACAGGCGATTGATTGGGCAAAACAGGTTACAATTGCAGCTGGATTTTGCTTGGTAGTAGTAACTCATAAATCTCAACGGGATGGTAGAATGGATCGCATTTTGAGATGTGACCGTTATCGCAAAAGAGAAGAAAGAGATTTTCGTACAGCCACTCGGTTTGATACAAAGCGGAAAGGTTGTGGGTGTGAGTTCAGAGTAAAGGTTCGACAACTACGGAGTCGTGACGGTTGGGAAGTGATTGGTTACTCTAAATGGGGGTATCACAACCATGAGATGATAGTATATGAAGAGGGTCATCGACAACTGAGCGGCTTAAGTCCTGCTGCGAAACTAGTTGTGAAAGAAATGAGTGATGCTCAAGTGAAGCCTGCTAAAATATTAGCATCTGTGTTAGAGAAATTTCCAGAAGACCATCCAAACCGAAGACACATCTACAACGTCAGACAGCAACTCAGGTTTTGAACGGTCAGAGGGAAGGAACCCTATACAGCAGCTGCTACACCAGGCACAATCACGTGGTTACCTGTTCTGGTTTGATTCTGATGAAGATACAGCGGAGGTGACTCATCTTTTCCTTGTGCATCCTGATTGTGCTGATATGATCAAGTCTTGGCCATTTGTGATTTTGATCGACTCAACGTACAAGACAAACAAGTACAAGTTCCCACTGGTTGAGATCATGGGGATGACTCCAACGAACGTACAAATACGCCAACGTAGCCGATCCCCAGGAAAACTGGCCTACACTGTCGGGGTCACACGCCTCCACTATGTCGCGTGGCCTGAGCTTGTTTCCGCCGCTCTTATCCGGAAACAAGGTACATCCGAGGAGTAGAAAACCATAAGCACTCAGCTGTGCGTCGTGCGTCCTACGTGCACTGGGGTACAAACACCGCTGCAACACGGATGCGATCTTCACACCTCCGTGTTCCCAAACACCTAGCGCCTCGGTGTACAGTGCAGCCCTGTCCACCGCCAACAACTCTGCCAGCAAATCTGCCTGATCCGCATCATCCACAGCACAAAGTCGTTTACCCTCAACACGAATCCCCAGAATGGCCTCGACGTCATGTAACATGATCGTCATCTCACCGAACGGAAGGTGGAAAGAGTTTGTATCCGGCTGCCATCGCTCAATGAAAGCCGTGATCAGCGTACTGTCAATCTTATCGTGCATGGTGGCAGGAACGTGATTCACCCCAGTGCCCTCCAGTCGCTCGAACATCTCGCTCTCCGCCGGCCAAGCCTCAGCCATGTACGCAAAAAGCTACAAGTCTTTTCCCGGGTATGACATTTCAACAACCCCGTAACTGAAGGCCTCTCCTGGTCCTCCCAAATACGGGCAGCTATGTGTCCTAGAAAGCTAGGAATCACACTCCCGTCAACAGGCCCACCGGGCACCTCACTCCTAACAACCCAAGAATCATTACCGGCCCTCGACCGTTTCCTGCTTGCCCCAGATACAGTGGACGCAGATGATGTGCCAGATCTACTAACAAACCTACCACCCCTACCCTTACGCACCTCCACCATATGTGTCTCGTACATGTCATCAACCCTCTGACTGAATGGACCGTAATCATCATACGGTCCACTGCCATCGTCCACATCCTCATCCTCATCTGCGCCCTCCTCCTGCTCCTCCTCCTGGTCACCCTCCTCAGCATCATCATCGTCATCGTCATCCTCATCCCGACGGTGGATCCGTTCTCTACGAGCTGAGGCCGAAATACCACGGGATCTGACATGTCTATGCCCCGACCTCTCCACTGAATAGCTTCTACTAAGAAGCTCTACATTCTTCCCCGCACCATGACGACCCAGTAAATTCTACACAAAATTTTAAAATATATAAACATACAAAAATTTATACGAAAAATAGCTACCACTCCCAAATCAAATAAACTAAAACCATACAAATAATTGTAAACAAAATATAAACATAGAAAAAATATGACAAAATTGAAAAAATTTATAAAAATAAACAACAAAATATAAAAACATATCAAAAATATATTACACAAAAAAATAAAATAAAAATAAAAACAATATTTTATTTCAAAAAAAAAAAAAAGGGGGGGGGGGCGCCTTGGCTAGACGCCCAGCCAGCAGTGGTGGCGCCAGCTGCAGACGCCGCCAGCAGTGGTGGCGCCAGCTGCAGACGCCGCCAGCAGTGGTGGCGCCAGCTGCAGACGCCGCCACCAGTGGGCTGGCGCCTGGGCTGGACGCCAAGGCCACGGCTGCGGCGCCTTGAATAAACGCCACAACCGTGGCTATGGCGTCCAGCCCAGGCGCCAGCCTACTGGTGGCGGCGTCTGCAGCTGGCGCCACCACCGCTTGCTGGGCGTCCAGCCAGCGCGCCCCGCCTCCGTCACGGCGGTTTTTCCTTTTTTTTTTTTTTTTTTTCAAATTGTACCTTGCCTCCTTGCGACCTCCTTCCCTCCGCCGCCGCCGCCAATTCCTTGTCTTGCCGCCTCGACATTGCCGTTGTTTGAATTTTTTTTTTTTAGAGAGGTTCAAAGAAGATGAGCGATGAGAGTTTGAGTGATGAGGGTGTGAGTGTTTTTTTTTTTTAGGTTAAGGGCAATATTGTCAAACCAAGTGAATTTTGTGGGCTTTATGTAGTAATTTGTGGGCGATGTTTAACAAATCCCAAAATGAATTGATAATTTGAGATTGAGGTAAAAACGTGTCAATTATAGAGAAGGAAAAGAGAGATAAAGAAGAGAGCCAGGGAAGAGGCAGTGCATGGGAAGAGCAACAACAGCAATGTTGATTGATCCATCCCATGCTCAACCGCTTCCCTAGCTTCTAGCTCTCCCATAAGAAACATTGACACAAAACTTGTAAAAATGACCACCTTACCTACAATGTGACGGATGCGCCTTTTTGTGTTCACACATACGCTTACAAATGTAAGACGATTTTTTTTTTTCATAAAAATAATACCCAAAACTTAGGATCAAATCCCGTACTTTGTGGCTCAATACCGAAAAATAAAATAGTAAGTGTTTTTTTTTTTTTTTTGAGTAATCTAAAGCTCTTGTTGCATTTCCTCGATCAACAAGGTCTATATATAAACAAGGCGAAACGAGGAAGTACCAGAAGCATGATTGCTTGTACTACATGCTGGTACCTAAGTAACGTTTTAGAGCAGAAGTACCATACAAAAAGATGTACTTCTAAAGTTCATGCAGTACAATCTTGTAATAGTAGTACTTTTAATACAGATGTACTAGCAGTAGATCAAAAAATGAGCTGTATCTTTATGTTTCTCTTGGTTGAATTCTTCAGGTTGGAACACACCAACTAAATATACAAACTTTAATGAGAAATGTCAAGTAATAAGTATAGATTTCTGTCTATTTTTCTAAATATGGGCCCACTAAAGAAAATTAAGCTCATTGTTAAAGATGATTACTAAACAATGAGATGAGATTAAAGACGTTCTTTCCATCAGATCATACAGGCCAAATAAATCTATTATATACATAGAAGCCAATCACTGACGAGAAAGCCGCAAGCAAAGAAACAAAATGAGGCCCTAGAGTTGAGTAAATTAAGATCTAACATAGAATCTGATGCTGAAGAGGAGAAAACTGTTTTTATTAGGAGCCTTGTTCTGTTACTGCCTCGGCTATTCCAAATTCTGATATCATGGATCCACCCTGAAGCATAGAAAGGACTATGGTTAGACGATTTGATGAAATCTAGGAAACGACTTAAAAGAAACAAAACTGAAACAATCTAGTAGCTGAACACAACTATAACAGCAAATAAGTTTGTACACAATAAGAAAGACATCAAACCAGTCAAAGCTAATGCAACAGCATAAAAGGCATTGATCTATTAATCAATACGCAATCTTCCAACTGAGCTTAAGGTTCAACAAGATAAGTATTCAAAATGCATGCATGTCTCTCTTGCTCTGACTCTTCATATGACTAGCATAGAGGACATGAAGGGAAAAATTGAAGGAAATCATGAGATGCTACGACAAAAATCTTAAGTTTTTTCTATATTCGTTTACCCCTGTTTTGGGATTGACAAAGCCTTGAATAAACCTCAAGAACAGCTAGCACAAGCAATTTCTTGTTTCCTCGGAACATAAAAGATACTTCACTCAAGTCAAAACAACAAAGATGCAAAAAAAATCTGAATCTATTTTACATGGGTTCTCTCTCAAAAGCAACTCGCTAAATCCACAGCTGAGATAAGGATCACAACTTTTGCAAAATGTATTCATTAGCAAACTGCAGGATGTAGCAATGCACTCCAACACTAGCACCCATAGGCTTAACATCTAAAACTTTGGTCCATATACCCACGACGAGACCTTTAGCTTAATACCAGAGAGGAAAGTAACCAAGAACAAGGAATCAACAGTAAAGTATCTTATATGTCCTCAGCACACCCATCAAACATCAAAAATAGATTCTAGATCAGTGGACTACATTATATCTACTACAATGCAGTAGTCGTGTAAAATTATTTTCATCCAACACTCACAAGGCAGACCTACTACACATCCAGCATTAAAGTATCCTTTGAATACCACAATGTATTCCTTCATAAAACTTACTACATATAAGCTTTTTTAAGACACAAAGGAGATGATTAGACGCAGCAAATTATGCAACAAGCACAGATTACCAAACATTAAATTATTAGTCTGTTTATGCTTACCGAATACCGATATTACTGTTCAGTTAAAATCTCTTTGCATGTTGATTTATTGTGTCCCATGCCCTTGCATCTACTACACTGCAACTGACGTTTGACAACCTCCTGTGAACCAAAACGGTTTTTTGTGGGCCGGCCTGGAGGCCGACGTGTAGGAGGAGGGGTTACTGTCACCGCAGCCTGAGATGAATCATTTTGTAACGATTCATTAGCACTTGGGACAGGATTCACTGTCTCAGAATATGTCAACCTATAGCTTTCAACCGAAAAATATTGGGAACAATATTCATACGGAGTCCTTCCCATACAGCCAATAACAGCTATAGCATGGAAGCAGGGCAAACCAGTCAACTGCCATCCTTTGCAACTACAATCCCACTGATCAATGTCAACTATTTCTATGGTGTCTCCACGCACCTCAAATGTGCTACCAGCTGAGAGCAAAACTTGAAGGGGAGGGACTTTCAAGGTTTCCTTGTCAAGTTTTTCTTCCATAGATGGGGTTAGCCTTGTTAACCACTTGGCTGACTCCAATCTCCGTGCACTTATTAACTCCAGTATCTTAGCTCGAATAACATCAACCATCTGTGTTATGGGTAACTCATGCGCCTCTGATGCCCAGTTATAAAAAATCTCGCCAAAATTTGATGACAGATGATTGTATCTTGCACCCCTGAAGAAAGCGTTTGCCCAGTACTCAGGTTCACTTTGCATGACCCAGTCATAAGCTTCTGTGGAGATACTTTTAATGCTGTCAACATATCTCTGGAAACCTTCAAGCTTAGAAGCATAAGCAGCAGCATAGAAATCCTCAACCAAGAGGCGTTTCACTTCATGAGAAAATTGCCCTTTCAGGTCCCTAATAAGATTCTCAGTCAAGTACCTTAAACAGTAACCATGAAAAGAATCCTCAAATATCTCAGCAATCGACTCCTTCAACCCCTTGTGTCTATCTGCCACGAACGTTATTGAGCCAGGTGTCTGCATAGGTGATTTCAGTTGCAATAAAAACCATCGCCAATTATCATCAGTTTCAGCATCAACCACAGCAAATGCAACTGGAAAGACACCATCATCCCCATCAGCAGCATTGACAGCTAGCAGTGTTCCTTGATATTTAGACTTCAAAGAAATGCTATCGAGAAAAAGTAGAGGCCGACAGCCTTGCAGGAATCCACATAATGAGGCATGAAATGAGACAAAGAGACGCTGAAAGCTAGAATCATCTTTGGTAGTAAAAGTAGCTAAACTACCCGGATTTGACTCCATTATCTTTTCACAGAAAGTTGGTAGCTGCTTATAAGCTTCTTTATAAGAACCTTGCAGTTGCTCTTTGGCAATTTCTTTTCCACGCCATGCCTGGAAATAATTAAGTTGAATTCCATACTCCTGTTTAATGTCATTGACAATATCCTTGGGCTTGTAATTCGGGAACACTTTCAACTTCTCTTTTATAATACCCGCCACCCAGCTTCTAGTTGCTTGATATCCTGTAGTATGAACACCTCCTTCACAAGTATGTGCAGGATTCATCTTCTTGATGCAAATTAGCTGCGTAGTTGATAACCTTGATGCATGAATCCTCCACGGACAACCTTCTGCTTTGCATTTGACAGTCACACGGTGACTATCATTCTTTTTATATCTGAATGCAAATTGATTAGCAATAGCATATTTACGTAATGCTTCACGAAACTCTGTGACACTATTGAACCTCTGACCAACACCAGTAATATTATTCTGCCATTGATGAGCAGCTTTCACAAGTTTCTCATCACCGGAGCTAGTGAGGGGCACTACAGCAGATATTTCAGTTGGTATATCGATTTGGGCATCAGTGTTGGGAATATCAAGAGGAGCAATAAAATGCACATCATCAGGATGATTAGTATCCTCCACCACATCAATGGGGGCATCAAGAGGCATCATTTCCTGAGATAAAGAGGTTCTGCTTGACCTACATATAACACTCCTCAATACATTTACCAAAAAAACCAAACTAAAATGCCAATTTTCGAAAATAATATCGAAATAGAACTGCAAGACATATACCTACTGATAGGCATGTTAGAGACTTCCTCAGGAGCAAGGTTCTCTCCCATTATGACATATATATCAACAACTGCACGACAGTCATGGAACTTGATCATGCGCAACAAGTCCTTATCATTGGATATTGTAATGAGAGTCTTCTTGTTTTCAGGAAGGAAGTACTTCATAGACATTATATCAGTACTCCAATTGAACATCTCAGCTATCTCCATCTTAAAGGCATTAAAATTCATCTCATCATCAATATCAATGGCATGAGCCTCACCACCTTTATAGGTGATACTACCATCGTTATCGGTCTCGAATTCGCCCCCGGCCTGACATATAGCTATAAGCTTCTTCCCAGCCATGACCTACCCTAGGAAAACATAATTCTTGCATATAAATTCAACTATACAATACAAAATACATTTTTGATGATATTCATAGCTACCAAAATTAAACATTATACATTATATTTCTCATATCAGAAAAATAAAACCCACAACTCAAAACCCCAAATTCAACATATATACACAATACAAAATCAAAAACCCAAATACAATTCTCTATAATTATCAAAATATAAAGAATATAACAGAAAAAGAGCATGTGGGTACTTAAAAATCAGATAAATTATGATCATCTAAACATGATAAAGCACCAAATTATTAAAATTTCATAAATTCATACAATTATACACCAATTTCTAAGCATGTACAATGCTTAAAGGTGAGTTAAATTATAAATTAGATAGAAATTAGAAGAAAGATTGTACCTTTGAAATTCAGAAAGTGGGTAAAGATGGAATTGTAGAAGCAAATTTAGCCCAGAAATTTGCAGAAAGAGGAGTCTGTGTTGTCTGCATATGTTCAAGTGTAGATCGTACAGAGAGAAAGAGAGAAGAGAGGAGAGAGAAAGAGAGAGGCACGCGAGAAAAACGTGAGAAAGACGAGAGATTGGATGTTGTTGTGAATTTGTGATTGTGAGTTAGTGAGTTGAGGTGGGCCGAATTTGAGAGTTTACAAGTTAAGTTCATCATTTCATCTCAACCTCAAATTGTTTCAACTTTCAAGCATCAAGATTGGCTTTTGATGATTGGATTTTGGGTATTGACTCATACTTGGTGTTTTTTTTTTTTTTTAAATTTTTTTTTTTTTTCCTTTTTTTGATTGAGTGAGAAAAGCTAGGCTAGCTTGTTTGATTGGGAATACCTAAAGCATCCTTTTGGATGATAAGGGAGAGGGAATACGCAAAATTATTAAAGGAGCAAAGTAGATTTTCATGGTGATGCCCCTTCTTTGCCATGTAGTCTGCTGCTATATTCATCTCTCTGCAACAATGGTGAATGGAGTGAGAATCAAGAGTGTTCAAAGCTACCTCCGTATCACAAATGATGTTGTAGATCTCCCATGGGATTTGCCACATCCTCTTAATGGCATTTATGACTGCCAAATTATCGCCTTCTATAATCAGATTACGAATGCCTAGGAATTTAGCTCCCTCTAAGCGTTTTCTTAGGCCCATTGCTTCCGCTTGGATAATTGAAGTGTCGGGGTGGAGAGCCTTTGCCCTTGCAAGAATACTTCGTGTATGTTATAGAGTGGGAAGTGGTTAGATAGTTAGGTCTATAGATTTGGCTCTTTGAGAGGCGGGTGTTAAAATTGATATACGATAAAGTTATAACAAAAAAAGTTAAGATTTGTAATAAGTCTTGTCATGTGTTTCTTGAAGTAAAAAAATATTGAATTTTTTAGAAAGAAGAAGAAAAAAACACAAAAAGAATTGATATGCATATCTTTAGTTGAAGCAGCAAAAAATGACATGTTATCAAGTGCCCATTAGGCTATTATCACTCATTTAAAACCATTAACATAATATGACCTTACTTGAATGGAAAATTTGCCAATTACAACCATTTAAAGTTTGTATTTTGCAAAGCAAATTGCAGCCATTTAAACAAAAAAAAAAAATGCAAACTGCTGCCCAAAAGTGCTAATAATTTGTAAATTGCAACCCAATTCAATTAATTCATCAATTTACGTGTTGAAATGTTCCTTTTAGGTTTTAGGGGTCATTTTAATTCTTAAGGGTCCCAAATGAACTCAAAATTGGCGAAAAATTAAATGTAAGGACCTCATTATCACTACAAAAAATAGTTGCACACATATCGATAAAATTTTTATTCGCAAAACGAGACATTTACGTATTTTTTTTGCAAATTTTGAGCTCAATTTGGGTTATTAAGGGATAAAATGACCCCTAAAACCTTACCGGAATATTTTTCGGCACACAAATCGATGAAAAAATTAAAATGGGTTGCAATTTACAATTTTTTAAGTACTTTTGGGTTGCAATTTGCACTTTTTTTTTTTTTTTAAATGACTACATGATCTAACATCAAGACTTCCAAGGAGGTCATACATCATAGTATTATTCTCATTCATTTGTGGCTCATGTCAAGCGATGTGACAAAGGTTTACATTGACATGTCACTGGCCTACCATAACCCTCCTTTATCTAGGATTGAGACTGAGTACGTTTCAATATAAATTTTCAAAATCAACTTTTTATGATTCATGCGTATTGATAATTTAAAATATTATAGGTCAAACTTCTACGTTGTCATACTCGCCAAATTAAATTGGAGGCACTTAATTAATAGTAAAGGGCGTACCTCCTTTATGAAAATTGATAATGCATAAAACAATGTATTTTGGTCCTCATACTTTTAATCAACATCTTTAGCTATGATTTTACCTTCATATTGCATATGCTCGGCGTAATATCTACTCACTAAGGATTATTAATTTATTATGATTTATGAAGTATTATCTTCACAATACTTTAGGCCTAGCAAGTGTTAGAATAAGAGAATTAGAGGAAATAATATCTTCCTTGTATATACAAAAGTATAACCAAGCATTCCAAGAGCATACTGCCTGCTCTCTTGCCATAGAATTACAGGCTATCCAATGCACAATGTCAACTGATTCTTGAAGATCATATTTCCTTGGAAGTCCTTCTCATATCCCCATACACAAATCATTATGCACGGTCCTTTCAGAATGTTTGCTCCTGGGCTGATGCAACCATTCAAACCGTTCCACATTTGAATGCGGGACTTCAGAAAGCTTGCTTTCCACTGAAATAAGAAGGCGCATACAGTGATGCAGACAATAGTATCACTACCAATCCCACATTTTGCACTCAAGTCTAAATGTGTATCTTGCAAAATTTTCATTTTTGATCAAATATTGTATTACTGCTAGAAACGCTTATCACACTGCATTACATATCATCAGATGGTTCAGACCTGTATATCACAGTGACAGTAGCAACAATTTACATCTTATAAACCCATCTTTCAAGTCGAAGCTGCTTCAGAGGAGGTCCAGTGTTTGGTTTATATCTCTGTGGGCATTTCCATTTCCCAGCAACCTCTGGCACACGAGAATAGTCAAAGTTAGTTGTTTCTTTAAGGACCTCTCTTCTCAACTTTTTATTCTTTTGCCCATCAGAAGAATAAAGCGAATTTACAGGAGAATTTTCTTTGTCGATCCTTGGTCTTACTTCACTCTTCATTGAACTTAACCGATTTTCAGCAGATATGTATTCTCCTCTTTCCTTTGGGATACTTTTTGAATATTCTTCTCTTGGTTTATGATTAAGCGAGATCCAGCCAGAATCATTTTCAGCAGCTAGAAACTTCTTTTCCGTCTTCTCTTCAGCAGTTTCAGTACATGCCCTATCCCTACAGTAAGAAGCCTTTGCAGGTGATCTCAAATGGTTTATGCTGCTCAGCTGCTGCTCGTCTTGCTGTATTGGTAAACTATGTTCATCTATAGTTCTTTCCCATGCAACAGATTTATCAGGGAAGGTATTATTTAATAATTTTACTTCTGAAGTTCTTTGATCAGAAGTTCTTTTAAGACAAAAACTGTTCTTGAGAGACGAGTTACTACTTTCTGAACCATCCTCCTGCACATTTCAAACAGAAAATAGAGGAATTGGTCACTTGGTAAAATATTTAGTAGTGACATTCTATGAACTATTATGGACTGATTTGCAATAAAAAAAAAAAAAAGGACTTCCTTCTAAGCAAAAGTTGGGATAACAACTTGCAATACCTGGGGAACAGAAGGGTTTTTGTTCTCCTGAACTCCACTAGGTCCTGTAGTTGTCTCCCTGCAGCTAAGTATCTCATCTTTAAATTTTGTTACAGGCAACTCCTTTAATTGATCTTCCCTCTCTTTGTCAATCTCTTTCTTATTCCCAAAAGTATAACCACTTGAAAATGAAACATCAAAATCAGCGCTCTCTAAATTTGGAGACTCGTATACATAACTTGAGAACCATTTTGTGATGTCAGGAGGCTCTGAAGTGCACATGCAAGAGCAAGAGTTTTAAATTATCAAATCAATAGTTATAACTTATACATGAAGTTTCCATGATACAACGAGAGACAAGAACAAACCAGATAGAGGTGAGAGCGAGTCTGGATAGGATGGAACCTATAAAAGAAAGAGGAAGATTAAGACCAAACTAATACCTTCTACAAACCTATAGTACAAGAATTCAACAAGTAATAAGATTGTACTGGACTTAAACTGGTAGATCTTAAAACTTCAGTAACGCATAATTATGTTATTGTGTACCAACAAAAGACATCCTTAATATACTAAAATCACAATATCACTCCAGTGCATATTTTTAGTTCACTTTGTTTCTGAATATCAAGTAGCCAATATAATTCCTCAAGTGTAGCCATATATAGTAAGGTTTTTTTACAAAGGCAACTATACAACACTTTCTTACAGACTTACACCTTATGGGTGTTACAAAAGCCATCTCACGCAAGAGCATACCTGGGGAGTAGAAGGGTTTGTGTTGTTCTCAGCTCCACTAGGTCTTGTAACTGTCTCCCTGCAGCTAAGTATTTCTTCTTTGACTTTTGTTACTGGAAACTCCTTTACATGATCTACCCTTCCCTTGTTAGCTTCTTTCTTATTCCCAGAAGTACAGACACTTGAATGTGAAACATCAAAATCAGCACTATCTAATTCTGGAGATTCATACACATAACTTGAGAACCATTTTGTGATGTCAGGAGGCTCTGAAGTGCAAATGCAAGCATAAGGGTTTAATTAGCACATCAATAGTCATATCTTAAATGTGAAGTTTGCTTAATAAACAAAGAGGAATGAGCACAAACCAGATGAAAGTGAGAGCGAGTCTGGATTGGTTGGAACCTGTAAAATGAAGAGAGGCAAATTACAGACCAATTTACCTTCTACAAATCTAAAGTCCAAAGGTTTAACAAGTTGTAAAATAATACTGGAGTTATACAAGTACACCTTTAAATTTCAGGAATGCAGAACTAAATTGTTGAATACCAACAAAAGACTACCATTTAACCTATTTATTCCTGAAGTAACCAAATTATTCCTGAAGTAAACTGTAGCCAGATACAACAGTTGAACATGCGGTTTAAGCCTTACAAATAAAGCTATCCTCGTGACAAAAAAAGATGAAACTTTTATGCAACATGACAAACATTAATCACCCAATTCAAATAAAGTAATTTTTATGTGAGTTGATGTCAAATTGGCGACCTTTTGAGTCACTAAGTCTGCTGACTGTTGTATACAGCGAATACACCTATTTTATACAAGACATACTGTTGTCAGGAACTCAGGACAGATGCATAAACAACTGTAAATCTGTAAAGGAACTTTCATTTAGATTTCCTAGATAGTCAAACAAACATTTTTTTGACAAAAGGTTATCCCAAAAAAACCTACCATGGTCCTTAAAACTATTTGTATAAAGGAAATTAATAATTCAAAAATAAATCAGAATACCTCAACAGCAGGAAGAGTTGGAGAATCATGCTTTTTAGCTTCCTCGGTGGATTTACAAATGGCGACGGAGAGATTTATCTTTGTGAAATCTTCACATGTTCCTTCATCTTCAGTCTCACTGTCCTCAACATACAATCCCCTCTCTTCATCATCCTTCTGAGATAAACATAAGTCTTCATTTGTGTCTAATTCAGGAGATTGGTAATTGTAACTTGAAAACCACTGCTTTATGTCAGCAGGCTCTGAAATCAACCAATTTTTGGCAAATTAGATTAATAACAATTTCAGCATTATTCAGCAGAAAAATGAGAAATTACCCAACAAGAGAAAGAAAAAAATAAAAATAAAAACCCACAAATTTTAATTAAAGGTACCCAGAAATTAAAATAACTATAAATTAATTCAGAAAAATGATACTCCCACAGAATAAAATTAATAATTATGTCAGCTAAGCAAGATTAACCCCAAAATTTATAAGAAAAAATCACCTGAAATTTCGGAAATTGAAGAGCCTGAAACCTGGGCAAAGATGCAAACTTTCAGATGATTTAATAGAAAATTGCAAACATTGAATTAAACAAAAAAAAAAAAAAAAAAAAAAGCATGATAAGAAATAAAGATGAAGAATTTGATATGGGTTTTACAGATTAATAACTGAGTACCTGAGATCTGGGATTTTTCATAGCATATGAAGCTTAAAAATTCAAGTTATTTGTGTGGTATTCTCACTCTGGAATTCTCTCTCCAAGTTCCTTTTTCAGTTCTGTACTTCTGCCATTTCTTTGATACTTTCAATTGAAGAAGACGAAAATTAAATTTTTTGAATTAGCCCGGTATAATAGGCTCATTCGCGCCATTCTGTTTGTCTTTGACAATTCTCAATTTGCGGGTTTCTAAAATTAACTACTATGTAGTTTTTGGCCCGGAAAATGTCCCGAATCATGTAATAAAATACAAATATAGATTAATTTAGTTACATTTGTTTTTTTTTTACAACCAGTAGTTACATTTGTTGTAAATAAAGAAGTAGTCCAGTACATCCGTTAACTATTATTTGCAACAAAGGGGGTGTTTGCAGACTCCTAGGCAAAATTTGTTTGTGAGAGTAAAATGGAAAGAGAAAAAGTTGGGTGCATGTGATGAGGAGAGAGATAGAGAGAAATGATTACCTAAAAAGGAAAAAAAACATTTGTTGCACATAATAGTTAACATCCATTTATAGTACATGTTGCAAATAACCGTTAACGGAGGTAGTATTTAAGTAAGATAAAAAAAAGATGATCTAACAAACAATGGAACAATATTGATTGGTGAGTTGAAAACAAATTTCCGGTGCAATCAAGGTGCTCAATTGTATTTGTCGACAAAAATTGTAAGGTTAACACACGACTTCCACACAAAGACACTTTTGAGTGGAAGGTTTGAGTCAAGTAACTTATGGTCTTATGCCCAATTGAAAATGTGTTTAGACTATTGTGCTTGATGTATTTTTTAAGTTTAAAATTCAGAAAAAGGCTTCTACTATTTATAAAGGAACATAAAAGAAGAGTCTCAAATATCAAGGGAGGTGAATAATCACCCTAAACACCCTATTAAAACGGGGGTTAAAAGAACTATTCAAAAAATGACATTGCACCACATCATCTAGAGATCCTTTCAAGTTAATGTATTGATACCTCATACTTCTTTAAGGCATTTTGATTTTTATTTAGGGAAATAGAGAGTTTACTTGGAGATCCTTTCAAGTTAGGCAATTACATAATTTGAAAAAAAAAAACCCAAGGATTCTTCCTTCTATTAAATACATACTTCATGGATAACTAGATCTCGTGCATACCTAGATTGAGTTTATTTATTTATTTTTATTTTTATTTATATGTATTTCCATTGGGTGAATTCAAATAATGCCTTGTATGAGACTATGAGTCTACAAGAATTAGATCGGTTTCCTTAGCGCAATCTGACATATATCATCTTCATTATTCTTAAACAATATATCATTCGTTATAAATAACATACAATAAAGAAAATGGAACTATGAGCAGGCCCGTTTTCGAGATTTTGGTGACCTAGGGCGAATCTATACATTGGGCCCTAATTAACTCGTAATACTTTTAAAATTAAATATTAAGGGTATACACTATATATATATATATATATATATATATATATATATACACACAAAGATAATTAAGCAGCCTCAATTTTGATTTTTAATCCACATGTCACATACTCACATCTGAAATTAAAAAATACGGAAGAAGATCATTGAGTGTATCTCGAATTAATGTCTACAAAATTTTTAGAAAAAACTGGATTTCCTATTATTAATAATAAGTTGTTATTGAAAAAAAAATTTAATAAAATAAGTAGAATCACATGATTACTGTAGATACCATTGCTATTATTCTATCTTTAAAAAAATTCTGATTCTATGCTAGCTTGGGACAATAGTCAAACAAACTTGGTTCGTCTTATTCTAAATTAATTCAACAGATTTACATACTTTAATTTATCGAAATTGTAATTCAACTTATAAACAATGCAAAAATATATTATAATTACAATTAAAAAAAGGAAATCAGATATAAAAATTTATAACTTAAAAATTCAAGGGAAAACAAAAACAAAAACCTTTTGATCAGAGATGTTCAACAATGGAGTAATGAATTCATCATTAATTAAATAAGGATTTGATTTTAAAAGAAATTGAATATGAGTTGGATTTAGAAAGAGTAAGTAGAAATTTGAGGACAGAATTAATTTCAGTAGGCATTGGAAACTAAAAATACATTGCGAAAATTTAGGGTTGAAGAACTTGGGGAAAAGAAGAAATGCTTTAAATACACTGTATTTTTTTTTTTTTTTTTTTTTAGGCTCCTAATTTTTACCAGTATAACCATTTTTGGGCTTTCTTACTTTGGGCCCTGGGCGGTTGCCCCACCTGCCCCGCCCCAGCGACGACCCTGACTATGAGATAGAACATTGATTGAGAGCATCAATGACAATCTTACATTGTAGCTCCTGGGTCTATAATCTAACAATGGGTTAATAGAACACATGAAGATTAAAGAGTTTGATACAGAAAAAGAATGTGGTCAGTTGATAAATAGCATAAACGCGTACATATTATTCTGGTAAGTTATATTTAGAATCAATTATTACATTACTTTGGATATGGAAAGCCTCTACTAGTCTAACTTTATAGCTCAATTGCCTACAGAGCGCCAACAGTCCAACACCCCTTCTCCGGATGTAAACGCTTCTCAAGACAAAGGAATGTACAGAATAGAGGCCAGATGATACCCTAACTTTTGAGCATAAACACATCATCTCCTTCAGCTTATTTTTGTTGGTGTTTGAGCGAATTTCCATCAGTGGAAGCTTCATCTCGTTTCTCAAGAAGTATGCTGCAATTATTCATAATACCGGCATCAAGAAGACCATGATTCCAGAGTTTGATCATAAAAAACCTCCAACACCTGAGAAAAGAGGAAAGGAAGAAAGAAAAGACGATTAATTCCAAGGGCATGGTTTGTCAGATACTATCATATTGAACAAAATGTAATAGAACTAACCAGAAAAGAGCAGGCGATTCAATCAACAACTTGCCATGAACTTTCAAAAATGCTTCACAAGCCCAGGGAACATGACCATCAGCCAGAACCCTATTCCATGAAAATTAATAAGTTAAGCAAAGCCAAACAACAAAAGCATGTAAGCATTACAAAACTAAGTCATAAGAGTGCCACGATGCAGACATGCACAATGTAAAGAGATTATGAGAGCTAAGAGCTGCATAAAAAGTGTTCTACCTCTGCTGTCGAACAAATGAGTTCCACAGATGCATTAGGTGTTTCTCGTCTTTGGTCACATCAACAAAATCATCAAGCATCTGCAATGCAAGGCAAATAACATCTTACAGTTTAGTGAGCAAAGAGTACCAAGGAATGAGGTACACAGTCAGGGATTTAAAGAATAAAGTAGAAACAAAGACTAACTGTTCACAAAATTGTCAAAATTGATAATCACATATTCATATAAGTGATTTAGAATAATAAAATAGCCAAACATACCCTTCTGTCTTCAAGAGCAGCAATGTCATTATCTACTTCATCCTCACTATCTCTGTCTGACAATACTTGTTCCAGAGCCATTGGCTTAGGATGCAAAAGGGAATACGTCAAAATTATCATCATGATATATTTGAAGCATGATACAAATACAAGTTTTTAAATGTGAAGTCCAAGAAATTGACAGTCAAATAAGAAACATTTTGAAGGAGCTGCAATGACGATTCTGTATTGAAAAAACAGACTTTAAAACAATGCTTGCATTACTACACAGGGGAAAAAAATTACTGTATCCATTAAGACAGAGCATAGACTTAAAAGAGAAAAGGGAGATATAAAAAATTGAAATCCTTATCACTCTCATTACTAGACTTTATCATTTTCTCCACCTTTACTGGCATTTCCTTATTGAAAACCCAAAAGTAAACTGGTACCATCAGGTATAGGAAGTTAAAGGCACTTGAATTGATAAAACAAAGGCAGAAAGAGTACCCTCAGCCAGTTAAATGTCCAAGAACCTACAACAGTTGGCAGAGTTACATAATAGATAGAGCAAAAATTGAAAGTTGACATGGTCCTGACTTCAAGTCTTCAATCAACCAACTGGAAGCAACTAGAGCTATCACAAGATGAACCAATCCATGAAACCAATCTATAACCGACAGCGACCTGATCCAAATTTACCTGAGAAATAGGCACCTGAACCCGAACCCACTTTCTATATTAATCCCAACACCCTATTTGACCCAGAATCCGAGATTCAACTCTGCATTAAAACAATCCAAATCCTATTGAACATTTTAACCCTTTACAACTCTGCAATCAACTGAACAAGACAAAAATCCTGGTTCAGCCTCAACTATATTGATTCAATCCAGGCCGACCCAACAAAAATTTAATTCAACCGAAAGGTCTGAAACCTATTATTGACTTCATTAACACATCACACAACCCGAGATAATCTAAACACAATCTAAGAGAATCTGAACATGACCCAAGATGATCTGACTAAACCTGTCAGTAAACCAAATCCAATCTAACTCGCTATTGCCTAGGATTTAAAACACAATTGTCCATCTATCTACCATGATTAAAAAAAACTCCACAAGAAGATAAATAGCATATACCAATAATTTTTATTTTGAGGGGATTAATCTAGAAGGCAAGTGCTAAACTCAATTAAACAATATCCCACTTCCAACCTGAACTAAATCAACCAAACCCTAATAAACCCAATTCAAGCCAAAATCAAAAACTGATCCAGCTTCATCCAAAGTGACCCCAACTGATCCTACTTTGACCCAAACAACCACCCTGAAACAGCTTGACCAGAACATGATAGAATCCGACCTGAACTGAACACCAAATACGACAGCTCTAGGAGCGACAAAAACATTTATGTTTTATGTATCACGCTTCCATTAAATTGGAACTTATAATGTTAGTATATTATAAATAAAAGATCAACTAGAAAAAAATAAGAATCTTCATAAAACACAGCATGATTTCTTAAAATTACCTGAGCTCGGTGAGAATGATAAAATTGCCGCTTCTGCAGGAGCAAAGTGCTGAAAATTAAAGAAAAGGAACCAATCAATTAGACTGGGTAGATATATATGATGTATCCAATGAGAAGAGAACATTCTAGGTAATAAATGAAAAGAGTTAATATAAATCATTAGCTTTGTTATAAATGGCCAAGCTTACCTCATGTAACAAAAAAGTAACTAGATTTCAGAGTTTAGGAAAAAACAAAAAAATTATAACTACAATGTTACTTTTAATTTTATTTATACTGCCCCCATCTACAACCGGCGACAATACTCTCTCACAATGTTCAACCTGAAGTACAGTCCAGTATCCCACTGACCTTGGACACGGCACTAAATATTAAATCTAACCCCCACCCCCTATTTTTCCCCAGCAACACCAATGCTACGATCTCAAGTTCTCAACAGTAAGGATATCATCAACGCGGAGAGAGGAAATGTGAAGGTTCAACAACGAAGTAGAGTGGGGGAGAAGGGTAGGTGTGAATGTGTGATACTATAATCTCGGTAATATACTCATTTATAATTAACATAATAGTTGATATTAATTCTTCTCATTTCTCACCTAGAGATAATATCAACAATTTTGCTCCATGATACCACTCGGACCATTTTGGAAAGAACATGAATGTATTATAGCTCCAACACTAAATAGGAATGCCTTGGATGATTTAATAAAGTAGCCTATTTGGGGATTACTACACTAGAGACGCACAATATTCACCAATTCTCTATTGAGTAATGATTAATGAACATGTTTCTACGACTACAAGTATGCCCACTAGCCTAACCAGTTTTATACTATCTATCGTAAAGCCACAATGCATCAAGTCAAAGAAAATGACTAGCCCTAGCTAAGCCAGCCTCCTGGGACCCCACCTTATAACCAAACTTAGCCAATAGCTACATCTTGACATCAAGAAAGACACTTCCTTAAAATTCAGATAACTAAAATAGCAGGAAAGTAGCTTAAATATCACATTTAACAATATGCATACCTTCTAGGCTCAGTCCGCTCAGATGAAAGCTTTCTTGACTTTGCAGCCGGAAGCAGCGTCAAAGACATCATCTTGTCTGCACATGTGCTTTGAACACAGTCTATGTCTTCCAGGGGCAGAGCTCTAGCTACTGGAACCCCTGGATTACTGTTGGCCGCAACATAATCCATGCCATTTGCATTACCATTTTCATAAGAATAACACAACTCTCCTGTTCTTGGATTATGTGACATTGGACAGGCACTTGGATCTTTCTCACCTACAACACAATTTAAACAAAAGAAGTCATACAGCTGCGTATTTCTTGGTCCAAAAAATGATATTAAATACATGAAGATTATATCAAAGGATATAATTATACATTCAAATGCTGCAAAATGGAAAAACAATTGATAAATAGGATATCAAACTATCAAAGTATTGCCGAAACAAACTTATGGACTTCTTTTAAAAAGAGTAATGAAAATGTTATGAGAAGAGTTAACAGACTACATACTTTGCTACAACAATAACAAACGAATGAACAAAAGTTAACAGATCATTCTCTCAATACCTAGTACTTGCAGGTACAGTCAAGAACAGCAGCAGCTCAGAATAATCTGCCCATGGCAGAGTTTAGAAAGAGAATATTCAAGATACATCCCATCCCTCCATGATCATTTGAGACTAATAATGAGAGTTTTTAAAGGACCCATTCAGAGAAAGTTTTCAAAACGAATATAACCGTATACAACGTTCTGGATATAAGAGAATAAGACCATGTTCAGTTTTTTGTTTTTTTGTTTTTTTGTTTTTTTTTTTATTTTTTTATTTTTTTTTTAAAATAAAATAAAATTGTACATTTCTCATTTCACACTTGCCAATGCATCATTTCAATCACTAATATTATAATTTACCGATACGCAAAAATATAAATATTTTATATTATGAAAGTGTAAATCGAGACGAATCTAACAAGATCTTACACGACTATTTTTCCTTAACAATAAATCATCAAAGCTAGTCAAAGAGAAGTATATAAATAGTGTAAAAGTCAAATTTGACTAATGAAGTATAAATAAGATAGGAACATAGGGTGGTAGGAGCCTCAGAAAAGGATTGGTAGTTGACTCAAGGAAAAGACAAATGGACAGATATAAAGCTGCTCTTCATTGAGAAAAAGAATTATAAAAATAATTAAGCAGATCCTACAGCAAGAATTCAGTATCTACTAATTGATTACTTCTTGAAGATAATATACACTAGTATCATCTATTAGTTCAGATATTCACAAAGTAAATAGTTTACATCTTGCAGGAATCTAAAAGAATGTGTACCCTCATTACTCCCAGTGGCCAGTGCAGGCAAGGCTGATTCCAACACATGGGGATATACATATTTCCCATTCTCATGAGGATCTTCTGGACGTTTGCGCTTTCGAGGCCTTGAACTGCTCAAAGATGGTTACTTTATAAGTAATGTTAGCAGAAGGGCATCGTCCAAAAGCTGCAAGCGGCAATGTTAAACTGCACAAAAGTCGCAACCTGCAGCTTAACTTACCAGAATCCAAATAATTGCAATCGAGGCTCAATTCCACCAGCAGTACTCTGCAGCAATGACTGATAATACTCAGAAAACTATGTAAGAAGAAAAGATTGAAAAAAATTTGGAATCAAAACACACTCTCACTTGAATGATGTAAATATATCGTAAAAAAATTGACTGAATACCTCTCATTCTTAGTGCTTATTTGGTTGGAGGGAAATCACAAAGGAATTGAGATTTGTTTCAAAATGCAACTATGATGTGTTGTTAGTACATTGGTTGGAATTAAAAAGGGGGAAGCGACTAACCCAACCCACTCCTTGCCTCCTTGGTAAGTCACAAAATCCCTTTTACGACTTACTTTCTCTCATTTCCCGCTCAGGTTCATTACAAAAAAATGTATGTGATAAAATTAGTTAGATAACATGGAAAATAAATCAAGTTTACTTAACAAAAAAATGTATGTGATAAAATTAGTTAGATTACATGGAAAATAAATCAAGTTTACTTAAAAAAAACATAGGAATCAATCCCTAGGAAATGCAAATTCCATATAGCCAACCAAACAATTCAAGCTAAATCTCTAGGAATTCTACAAGGGAAGTTTTTTCCCATGACTAAATTGTGCCTTTTTTAGTACAAAAAAGCAAAAATCTACCATGACTTATATATTGCGAGGTAGGTTAGCATCTTTTCTCAATGTTCTTATATAAAGCCTATATCCCACGATTCCAAGAAAAGTTTAGGGGCCCTAAAATTCTATAAAGACAACCCAACCACCCCAAAGTACAATAAGCAACAAACTACTGAAGGTTGCCCCACAGTACTACCTGTTTATCTACTCTAAACTAGAGGGAAAAAAAAAGGTTTATGAGAAATGCTTAATAACAATCTTGGATATTTAGAACAATAAGAAGAAGAATATTCTGACCTCTGAATGTAGTGCATCAGTTTTGACGGAGACATTAATGGCTCTATACTTTTCGGTCACCTAAAAATGAAGTGTGATACATCAAGCAGATATTAACGTTCAAAGTTTCAATTAATGCAATAGCATTCAATTCTAGTAACTAACCCAAAATTCACATTTAAAAAGGTCATGTGACGTGATCAGATGAGAACGGAGACCCTGCAAACAGAAGATCAAAGTTGCAGTTTTTGTAAGAGCAGTAGCTTACAGCTTTTAGAAAACAACGTACTGTGAGAAAAAAAGAAAAAAAAAAAAAAGGGAAAGAGAATTACAAGTAGGCATATGAATACATGTGAACTATATAAAATTTAGCAAAGGTTGTTAAACACCTGAAACTCTGGTTTATTTTATGGTTCTTAGATCTCTTCGGGAAAACTTCGCCATCACAAAGAGAATACCAACATTCAAAATTTATCAATTGACTAAAAGTAAAACAACCAGCACAAATTTCTTTTTCCAACAAACTAGAGCGTAGTTTCCCATCAAGACCACAGGTGGGGATAAACCGCTAACTATAATGCACTACTGCAGTAAATTTCTAAAACAACTTTCCAATACAACTTCACTAAATAAAGACAATTTCAGACACCAAGTTACCTCAATACCTAAATTGGCATCTCTGTGACTCTATACTAGATCCCATCAGTATTTGAAAAGGCGCGCCTAGGCGCAAGGAGATCAGAGGTGAGCACTTAATTAGGTCTGGGCGAGGCGTTTTGAGTTAGGCGCACAAAAAGTGACCGAGGCGCACATGAGGCAAACTTCAGCGAAATTTTTTTAAATGCCCATATACTGCGCCTCACTTCAAAGAAGTAGGTGCAGCAGAACCCCTCTCGCCTTAGTGCGCCTTGAGCTTGTTTTTATACATTGGGTCCATTTCACAAAATTACTCAATGACCCCCCACCCACTCCCCAAAGAGAAAAATTTAATAAAAGTCTGTAATAAATCTCTCCACCATCTCAAGGATACCCTAGCCAATTCAAAGAATTATAGAAGTATAGGAGAACATAATCCAACCAAGACTACATAAAATGATTTAACTTCCATGAAATATTAATCCTCATTACCATTCCCTCCTCCACCTAACCATTCTCTTAGGCCTTTTTTGGTTGAAATGATTTGGGTGGAAAAGAAAAAAAAAAGGAAAGGGTTTTAATCGTGTTCCCATGTTTGGTTGAATATATGACATGAGAATTCAAAGTAAAGGAAGAGAAGTTGGAGGAAAATTCCTTTACAAACTTTTAGCTTTCCTATCCTCCCAAAATTAGAGGAATTCGACTGGAAAGAGAAAACTAAATGTTGTATATTATAAATTTTAAATCTCTTCCCTTCCGAGCCTTCATTTCCTTTCACTATCCAAATATTTGAAAATAAAAACACCTTCCTTTCCCTTCCATTCCCTTCCCTTCCCTTCTCTTCTTTTCTTTTACTAATATTGAACCAAACAAAGCCTTAAGACTGATACCATGATGAAGCAACCTCATTAAGGAACCTTCAATCACTACAATTGACACTAAGATATCTTTATTGTGTCTAATTTTACACTAGATCTTGTCTCACACCCCACCCCACCCCACCCTCTATCAGCAAAGGACAAAGTCAGTTAAAGTTTCTCACAACTCACTAATATCTACTTTCTCCAATGCCATCGCCAGTAATCTTATGAGATAAAGTAGCACGAGGATATTGGAAAAGCAAATTTAACTCCAATCAAAAATTAATTCAGCTCCATTCTTACAACTTATCCAGAACCAAGATACATGTAGTTTTGTGAAATCAAGTAAAGTGAGGTGGAATTTTCTATGTTCCTTAAAATTGGAATCAAAGAACAGATTCATACATACCTTGAAGCTGCCACATCTCATCAGACAAAAAGGACATGAAAACTGTCTAGTAACTGCACGTTAACAAGGAACCAAATAAAGATTCCTGATTAATAGAAAAATTAGACACGGAAGTAATAAGCAAGATATTTTAAATATAGAAGCACACCTTCGGTCTTTCTAAGCAAGTTGCTGTGGTCTCTATAGTTGAAAATTACATTTCCATCCATCAATCTACACATAAAAAAGCCATTGATTTTTTAAAAATAATTGTAAAAGAATAACCTTGAATTTACATATTATGTTTCTCTAGTTTGCATCAAAATTTTAATTTTCTGGCAATGGTCTCTAAAAGAGTTTTTTGAGCAGTTGAGAAGGATTTAGAGTTACTTAGTCTTATCTAATCTTTCATTGCATTTCCTTAGTTAGGCAATATAATCTCCTCTCAATCAGAGTAGGGGATTTTTTTGTTTTGACACACACACACACAGGAATGATTGTTAAAGGCAAAGAATGTTGAAAGAAACACATACAGCCAACTTGAGAAGAGACATTTTCCTTCTGTTTCCCCATTCTCTCCTTCCTCCCAAATTATTTCTTCTCTGTCTTTCTTAAGTCCTTCCTATATTTACATGTTTAAATTCCCTTTTCTCCTTCATCTTAGAATTTTTATTTCCCTTGTCTCTCTCTTTCCTTTCTCTTTACACATTCTTACACTTAAAACCCCTTTAAATTGAACATCCATGCATGTATCTATCTACTAATCCGCACATTCCTTCCAGCAATTCATACCCCAAACCTTAGCGAAGGCATCCTTCTCGGATGCCAAACTGGCCAAATATAGCCACAACACTCTTAGATATGTTCGATGATGTAACTATCTGCACATTCCTTCCAGCAATCTAAACCACAACATTTAGTGGAGGCATTCTAAGATATGTTTGATGGCTACAATTCACTCTAACTAAATAATTTCAACTAACAAAAAAAGCAATACAAGATCATACCCTGCTTTCCATTTTGCCTCAATTTTGTAGTTCAAGCACCTAGGAAGAAATGAAGGCTGCACAAAAGTGAAAAACAATCAAATTAAAGATAATACACAACTTAATGGAGCTAAATTAAGCAAAATTGGTAATAAGTTTTGAGTAATTCTCCCAACATTACATTTTGATGAGCTCGGCGTTGAAGTATATTATATAATTCAACTGGTTTACAGTATACTAAAAGACATTCTTCTGCAGCAACATCCTCTTCCACCGTTACACATGGACATGAGCTTTGGTGACACATTGAATTTGAACCGACACGATCCCAGCAAGGCGACAACTGCACCAACATATCAAAATACGCAGATCCACCATGTATAATCACTATAATTATCATTTTTTCCAGTTAATCAAGGCTTCTAAATAATAATACAGCTGAATTGTATGAAATTAGAAATTCAGGCTATCAAGATCTAAATGTACTCCTCTAATTGTAATTCCAATTTCATAATTCCATCCTAACAATGAACAAGTGCTAAATTGGCTTGATTATCTCGAAAAATCATGTTAAATTCTTGCAGTATATATAACAACCAATAACCCTAAATTGATTGTACTGACAATTGAATTAACGAAACCCTAGATTGTGAAATTGATATTCGATGATTATATAGACTATCTTACCTCAGAAGCTGCTTCAATGGAGGAGAGAAAGCTCAGAAGCCGCTTTCAATGGAAGAGAAACGGAGGGGGTGCAGCTTACACGAGAAAAAGACTCTTAATTTAGTCCGTCCTTTTTTTTTTTTTTTTTTTTTTTTTTTTTTTTTTTTTTTTTTTTTTTTTTTTTTTTTTTTTTTTTAAGTTTGTCTCGTATTACTTTTGGCTGTAGGAAATCAAATTTTTAATCACGACTACTATTTTATATTCCGGAAATAATACTCTCTTTTAATTTTAATATAGAGTAAAAAATGACTTTAACCCATAACACATAGATAAAGATACTTATATATTACAAAAAAATTATCAATCACTCACAATCTATAGTCTATACTCCGTAATATGTCTCATTTTCGAGTTTCTTGATTTACAATATAAATCATAATAAATACCCTGAATCAGTTACAAGTTACATAAAATTAATTACAGTGTATAACTTAATCAAAATTAGGCGACCCAATCCTTAACGTTGTTGCAAATGAAAATTCCAACCTAATAAAATTTGAAGTGTTTCATTTTACTTTTGACTCAATATTTTGTTAAGAATTTTTGTTGGGTCCCCAAACTCATCAACCCAATTTTTATCACTATTTTTTCATTTGCATAAGATATTGAGCAAATGACTATGTAGCGAGTTAATTGAGACAAAAGAAATAACAAACTTACAATAATCTAAACATGTTCAAAATACAAAGAGGATCTTTGGAATGGAAGGTGAGAACTTAACCATCATTTCAATATACATAACATCATTGTTAATATATTAAAATACAACTTACAAGGTACAAGAATTCCTAGTTGACAAAAATTATACATTAGAATACAAGTCTGAAGATTCTACTCCTAGTCCTAAATCCAACAAAATTATTTGAAGAACAGGGTAGGCATGCAATAAGATCCTGTATCAATATTACATCTGCCCCATTCCTGCATGAAATTGCAAATGATTACCCGCAACTCGATCTCCATACCTGCAAAATAGGTTAGAAGATTAAATGATTAATGGAAGTCAGCCAGCTTAAAAATGCACCAATTTGAACTTTAAGATGTTTCAGCATTTAGAGCATATGTTGATTTTAGCTACAGTAGTACTAAGCATCTAGCTGGTGACAGTATTAGCTATTTTTATCATTTTATCAAGTGTTAGGTAGCTAAGAGTTACCCATATAGCCCCGCTCTTCTACTAGTCTTGAAAATATATTAATCAATCTCATTACTGTTATCCATAGACACTAACGCAATCAATACCTAAAGGAGACTTCAGCCTATGGCTAGTTAATGCTGATTTATCAGTGTATCAACGGCTATTGATCTTTATACAAAGTGGAATATCCCTACAACATAACATTGATTTAATCAGTATGTATGACGGATCTCATAGCAAACTCAAGCTAATGCAAGTGCATCTAAATTAGCTTTTCTGTAGAAGTGTAAAAAGATATGTAGGCATTGTATGCAGCAAATATAGTTGCACTCAAATCAGACAATCTTAACATACATGATGCAATGCTGCAAATCTAGTATAAACCTCCTTAGTTCCAACTCATGTTTCATGCCTGCGTTGACAGAGGGGGAAAAAGGTTAAAAGATATGTTATAAATAGACTGATAAATCAGCTTTGGATCAAGGATTAGATGAGATATAGATGATGCACCGACTGACACTACAAAGCTAGAGCTGCTTCATAAATCCATGAAGGCTTTTTGGCTTTGTAATAGAAATATGCAATCATTTGAACCAATTCATCTGAAGTTCTGTGATCTGCATACCAAGAGTTGAAACAGTCACATTCCAAGTTTGCAACAACAACAAATCAAACTCAGCATGTCCACATAAACTATGGAAAGAAGGAAAAGAAGCTACAGTTCTTACCGCTTTCCCTGTACAAAATTTTTTGTCCACGTAGAAAAAGTATTTGCGGGCACTGTCTAACTTTAAGAGCATATGCTAAGTCTCTCTCAATATTGATATCCAGCTTAACTGCCTGTTACAAGAAATTTATGATCATGCACCTAAGATTTTATCACACAAAATTAACATTAGGTCTATTATTTATGAGCAAAAGAGAACTATCTTGCTTGACTTATTTGATAAGTAGGAGCCAGATCAGATTTCTCTCAGATTAAGGAAGAATTTATTGCCATGCGGCTTCAATACAATTTGATATTAACAATACTTCCTAAGCTCAAGGCTAAGAAAGTACTGCAGGTAACCACTTCCTAGGAAGCTGGAATCTGTGACCTTTTAGAGCCCAAAGAAATTGTGTTGGATAACTTAGTTGAATAGACAATTCGCAAAAAGAGGCCAGTCAACCATCTCAAAGGTATAGTGAAGGCTAGATATGTTGTGAAACCACCTCTTAAGTTCGTCCAATCTAACAGATTTAAAACTTTCAGTCAGTGAACCATTAGGTTTAACATAATTACATTTAACCTCAATTTTCAGAATTACCCCAGCCATGTCCCAAAGATCTACTAATTGCCTTCCTAAGTAGGAGGGAACATCGAATACAGGAAAATTCAATTTTTGCTCGAGTAAGGGTATAAAATATTCAAAACAGATGGCTAATGGAGATTGAATACAGATTAGAAAGGAAATAAAAAATTTTATGATGGATTTATGTGATAATTGCACTTGGTGTTATTTTTCTGATAATAATGGCTAATGATCCTTTCTTATATTCAAAAAAGAAGAATTTCAAGTGATGAGAGCATACACGAGGAGGAAGTCGATCTTTAGCATTCCAATAAACCTTGAGTGCCATCTCCAACTCTTTGAGAAGTTTCCAGTTATCAGTTGCTCTGTGTTAACAAAAAGGGTGAATAATTAACACAATACTTCACTAAAAGAGTGAAATTTGAACCAAATTAGCTCTCTAAATGTTGCAAAATCAAAGAATAAACAAATAAACATAAATTATTGCATCTAAGGCAGAAATGAGATTCAAATATGCATGTTCCAAGAATTTGCAATCTTTAAATAGAAAAACAAGAAGAATATAACATAGCCTATTTGTTATCTCGAGCATTATTTCTTCACATTTAGGGCTACTAGTGGAACACCACTTATGCATCTCTAAACAACAGGTCCAATAGTAAGCTAACAAGACAAGATGAATTGCTCACATAATCTACACCACTTCATGCATGAGTACTACATTAAAATTAAATTGAAAATGCTTCAGCGCCTTATTAGTAATTCTTCTATCCTGTATAATGATTAATTTATCAACTCATATCTTTTTTAAGCAATTTTATAACTTAGTCATTACATGATAAGGGAAGTGCAGGTTCAGGTAATTTTCTAGTCCCTTAAAAAACTTAGTACTAATGTTTTTGTAATTGTACTCAAAAAGTTCAAAAAAATACCTGTTGTATCTTTCAAAAACAAGAACGATCAACGGACTTGGGTGAAATGCAAAGCTCTCCCACTCAAGGCAATTGATTTCCTGTACCCAGTTATTATCAATTTCACCTTCCCAATCAATTTCAGTACCATCATCTCCAACAATGTTTTTAATTGGATACTTTTCAAAATAGTTTGATGCTCTAGTGCCCCATCCCACTTCAGCATCAACTGGCCAAGTAGGATCATCGTCGTCAACAACCATTTGCTCCTCTGTCTGACCATTGTCATCATCATCATCATCTTCTTCACTACTATCATCAGATAGAGTCTTGTTGTTACTTTCTTTAAGAATTTGCTCTTTATTCACAAAAACATCAGGATTTTGCTCCTGGATAGAAGCAAATGTTTTTTCAAGCGAGTCACGTATAAAATCCTCAACAGCAAGTGCTTCACTCCTACGACCACGCCTTGGCTTCCTTGGGATTATTGGTGATGGTATTGAATTGGTGCCTGGCTCAGCTTCAGCACCTTTGGCTTTCTTCAATCGACCTTTTCTCTTAGGCTTGGAGTTGGGGTCAGAATCTGCCTCGGAGTTGGATACAGAATCAGACTTTCCCACTGCAGCAACACAATGCTGGAAATGTCGGATGCCATGACGAGCAACAGACAATTTAGTGGGGCGACACAAATATTGTGGATGAATCTGTAGGACGATTTTTGAAGCACCAAAAGAAAGACAATCCGAGGAAAGATGTGAGTAGGACAGACAGAAATCTTTCCTAAGAAGCTAGATCCAATCTAACTGGGTTTTACAAGTTTTTCAATTGTAATCAATCAAATGCCACAATTCCTGCAGAAATACAGCAGTCCAGCATTGGACCAGGATTCAGGATTCAGGACAGCTGTTATAAACCAACAACTCAAGAGGCAAATTCTAAAGATTTCAGAACACTATTCTACTACTCGTATTATCCACACTTTTACTGCTTGAGCTAATGCAAACCTACAACAACCTGTTTCGAGTAATATCCGCCTCAACCCACCGTGCTCAGCTTCCCATTTTCCATTCAAGAAACAACACCTCCTAAACAAATCAGCAAATGAGTGGCTATTCCCCACAAAATACAAAATTATATTTTGTGTATTGAATTCAAAAACCAATAATATAACTCATAGATTAAGTCAATAATCCACATTAAATTTAAAAAACAACATCAGGGTTTCGGGCCACAGTCTTTCTTCTTCCCTCAAATTGCTCACCAATTCTTCACACATAAACATGCTTTGATAAATTAAACAAACCCTAGCAATAGCTCATTCCCAGCACCATGATATCTCATTATTTAACACAACATAAGCATAATTTTTCAGCCAAATCAATAATTTTCGTTATACTTCGAAGTATAATTTTTGGGAATTTTATGAAATTCATATTGCATATTCTGTATAAAATAATCAAGGAAGAGCCTACCTATCAAATATCAAACTGACATCATATTCTACCAAAAAACAGGGAAATATACAGAAATTCACTCCTTTACACTAACTGCAATTACTACAACAATAATAAACAACAATTAGATATCATATCAAAAGGGAAGAGAGAGAAAGAGCCGAAGAAGAGAGTGAACCTTTGAAGAGATTGTTGAGCAACTTTTAGCTGCTAGTAATGTTAATGGTGGTTTTAAGCTACTGAGCGATGAGTCTCTATGAAGGGAACTGGTTTTTTTTTTTTTTTTTGTTTTAGCAAAAGCCACAACGTTTGATAAAAGATTACATGTTCTAACGAGGATTCTTGAATACTTAAATGGATACGGATATATATATACGGATACAATTATGAATATATATACGGATACAATTACGAATACCATGAAACGAAATGTTCGGTAAAGTTGGTGAGAAACTTTGTGACTTTGAGATTGATTGGGGGTAAAAAGCGTAGAATTGCGTACCTGGACCGTAGAGCCCTTCATCTTACCAAAAAAGTTGCACAATAAGAAAGATAAGGTTATGGTTCCATTGACAAATTTTCCAATTATTTTTTAATTTGTGACATAAAGTCTTGTGTGTTAACTTTGAATGGCCACGATAAGGCACTGATGATATGCAGGCTCAAGCTCTAGAGGAAAGGAGTGACCGTGATAGTACTAGTAATACGACTCTAACACGAGATAGTATGTTAAATGATCGGAATTTCAAGTCGGGCAAAGTTTTATGACTGAAAGTTATGGTTAAGAAATTTGGCGACCCAACATTATACTTGTATCCTTGCACTGTGATTAGCCACATCGTTAAGTGAAAGATTATATGCAGGAGCGAGTGGCAGCTCTTCCTGGTGTCTTTTACCTCTGATGATTAATAGACTTCCAGTGATGATTAAATCAACTTCAAGCAGATCCTGCTTGATCACCCCCCAAATTCTTGCTCTGATATCAACTTAATCATGGCAACAAGAATAACTAAAAAGAGGCTGATAGTTATTTCTTCACTAACATTAGCTGAAAATTGTAACAAATGCAAAATTCTTACAGCAGTTAACCTGATAATTTAATTTATTATTAAGCCAGACCTAAGGAACTGGTCTACTCTAGAATAAACTAGTAGACTAAAAAATGCAAATAAAATTGTCCTGAAAAGCAGCTAATTTACACAACTCAGCACAAGCTCCACATGAGCCAGGCCATCAGAGCATCAAACAGGGCCGCAGAGCACCATTCAATGCTTCAACAGGGCCAAGGAGCACCATTCAAGGCTTCAAAAGGGCTAACTAATCTGTCTCTTGAAAGCGCTATACAATTGGATTCATCGCTAGTTCAGTACCTCGAGCCTTGTCCTGATCAGAGATATGGGGAAAATACAAATTACTCATGAAAGCTTATGTATATTCACCATTCACCTACACAGAAAAACAGAAATCACCCAGGTTACATGCGGTAATGTTGGAACTCCAACTTTATTAATCAGAGAGCATAAAAGCAAGGTATTTGAACAATATTTTAAAATGTGAAAGAGGGTAAAATTATCCCAAAATATTTACATATAAGAACACTATTTACAGATATCAAGCTAGAGCATATCCAAGATGATCTTCCAGTCATGTGTTAAGACTTTCAAAAACACTAATCTGGGAACAATTATTCAGAGGCTCAAAGGAAAGATTAGTACAGGAAAAATCCTTACATGACTAGAGCCAGCTTCTGAAACATACAGCAAACAAAAATTTCTCAGATAGCAGCAACCAGCAGGATGAAGCAATTTACATGCTTTGGTTTCTACTTAGAATCAGAAATTGCCTCTATGCCACTAAATCACTAATTGCTGAATTAGGTGCACATGCCTAACCAGTGTTGTGCAAATTTTACTGTCACCAGTTGTATGAAATCTATTTGGTCATTTACCTGGAGAACTCGTCCGTTAAGTTGGAGCAAATTGTATGTCTATCTGTCAGCAAATGTACTTCATGGACAATAACCACAAGGTAAAGTCCCAAATTTGCAGCTCAAATTTTGATATTATATCACTCTCTTGCTCATAGTTGCCAGCAATAAAGAAAGATTCCAATGGGAAAACATTTCTCTTTGATGGTGTTTGTCCTGTTTGATATAAAAATAAATAAATACATAAATTACAAAGAAATAAGAATTCCTTTCCCCGGATATTCCCATTCTAAAGACTTTCCCCAAATCCCTTCACCACCCCCCCCCCCAGGGTTTTCAAAATCCCTAAAGTCCTGTCATGGCTCCACCCCTTGACCACTGTCCTGACCTCAGCCCAGTCATCAACAGCCTCCACCAGCTTATACAATCTCAAACCCCATCAAATTTAAAATCCCAATGTTATCCTACAACCACCACCAAATACACACTTACCACACTCAGACAGCCACCTACCAAAATACAACCACAAACATCTACCAATACTGTCCAAACTCGAAACCACCTACCAGCTCACAATCAGCTACCAAAATCACATTTCACCACTTCAGCACTTCCCACAACCAATACCGCAATTCCACATGTACGAGATTAAAGAGAATTTGCGTGAGAGAATACCAGCTTCAAAAGGTCAAACTCTGGCTTTAAGTAATCAAATTTAACCATGAAAGCTCCAAATTAAGAGTTTTTATTATCAAATTTGACAGCAAAAGCTTTTCTTCAAAGTCTTGCAGCGGATTCAAAACAAGGTTGGGAGGTGGCAGTGCTGTTGCGATACACTGCAGCAGAATTTGGTATGGTGGAAGTCATGGTTTGAGTCTTTGAAAAATGAGAAGACAGGCCACAGGAGATAGTATGTGGAGGGCAAGGACAACCCTTTTCCCCTCTTACCAATCACTCTGAGAAATGGGAAGGGGAAGAGGGGGGGCATCTTTCCTTCAAGTTGAACCAAAATAGCCCCTTGTGCTCTTTTAGAGAAACCCTACATTCTCTTCGTAAATTATGTCGGATAACAGACACCAATTGCTATTAGCATTTCTACATCTCAACAAGACCAGCCAAGTCGAATCTAACTTCCAATAACATGCTTAGAAGTAAGAAATGAATAGATTACTAGTAAGCCTCTCGTAACATGCAAGTATACTTTTGTATATATCAGTTACATAAAATTGAATATAATTGATGAGTAAAAGCAACGTTTTCAAAAATCAAAACTTGTCTTCGTTAAACTACAGGGGAGGAACCAGTGTCCACATGTCTGAACTCCAATCAACAGTTCTTACATACTTATTTGGTGCATGACTGCATGATGCATTATATGATCCCAATAGCCACCTCCAACTCCACGGCTGGAAGCTTTGTTAGAGGCACTCAAGTAATGCTTATAGTATGGGATCATGGCAAGATTGGCAATTATCTAGGGTCTGATTATTCACATTGTCAAATCTGGCATGATACCTTCAGACTTGAGTATAAGTTGGAAAATAGAACCGTGAAAGTTTAAAACTTGCTCCAAAAAACAACAGATTAAAGGGGAGAGAGAGAGGGGGGGAGCACCAAATCACCAAGTCTGTTAGGTGATTTGGTGCTCCCCCCCTCTCTCTCTCTCTCCCTCTCTTCATAACAATAGCAATATCCATACAGCGCACAAAATAATTGACAAATACACAGTTCGTAAGAAGCTCAAGAAAAGAGTAGAAAACTAGAAACACACCTTGTCTAGCCATAGAGTTCAGCACAAGTAAATCCATCTTGCACCAGTTGATTAACCGCATCCCTGAACTTATAGTAATCATCAACTGTATTATAAATTTGATGAGAAATCCGAGCATACCCAGTCACACATCCAATCTCACCATCCTTAGGTGGCCTAAAATAAATCGGAACCTCAACGCCAAACTTCTCCCTAAAATGAGTCCTCAACTTCATAACATTGTCATCACTCTGAATCCCCAAACAAGTAGGCAACCCGACCATCACCATACTCGCGCACATTTCAGGGGAGCAACCCAAATGCGTCCCCCAAGCTTTCGCCAACATCTCCCCCATCTCAATAACCTTATCATGATTCCTCTTCATAATCCCTTCAATCCCACCCTCGAACTGACTAACAAACTCCAAAACCTCCGGCACAACAAGCTGGGAGCTATAATCCCGGGTCCCAATCCACGCACTCTCCACAGGCAACCCATTCCCATACTCGTGCGAAACAACAGGATGATGCACATCATCAAACTCCACCCCTTCTTCCTGTTCCTTCCTCTCCTTCTTCCTGCAATACAAAAACGCAACCGAAGGCGGGCAAAAGAACCATTTATGCAAATTACTAGTATAAAAATCAGCCCCAATTTCCTCCATATCAATCTTTAAACACCCAATTGAATGAGCCCCATCAACAAAAACCTGATCAACCCCTTCTTCCCTACAAATCTTAACTAATTCTTTAACAGGCAAAACAACACAAGGCATAGAAGTAATATGATCAATAACAGCCAATCTAACCCTGCGATTCTCCAACTTAGCCAAATTCAACGCATTTCTAAACTCCCTAACAATCTCACCGCTATCGAAAACCGGAAAAGGAAGAGGTACCTCAATGACATGCCCACCGGCGCGTGTGACATACGCATGCACGGATTTCTTCACTGACCCATAAGCGTAATGAAGCATAACAGCAGCATCACCGGGAGAAAACCGTCGTTCAGAGAAGGCGCGTGAGACGTACTGAAGAACAACGGCGGTAGCAGTGGTGGCGTTATCAACGAGGGAGATTTCATCGAGACGAGAAGCGTTGATCAATGGAAGAAGAAGACGACGAGAAGAATCGATCCCAGGTCGGAGGAGAGAGAAGTAGAACAAATCGGGTTGTCGGAGGAAGAGGAGCTGCCAGCGGCGTTGGGCGGCGATGACGGCGGAAGGGCAACACCCAAAACTGCCATTGTTGATGCGAGCAATGGTGGGGTCATGGTGGGAGAATTCGGCGGCGATTTCGGAGGGGGAAATTAGGGTTTGTTCTTGGTGATTGAGTTTGGGTTTTTTTGGGATGGGAGCCATTTTCGGAGGAGTTGGAAGCCATGGGAGAAGGGAGGAGAGATAAAATGGGGGGAGATTAGGGAAGAGGAAGAGAGAGAGTGAGAGTGGAAGCCATGAAAGAGATGGGAGGAGAGAGAAAATGGGAGGTGATAAGATAAATGGAGAAGGTGGACACGTCAGACGGGAGAGAGTGGCCGGCGGTAGAGGAGAGAGAAAATGGATTTGAGTTTGGGTTGGGGGTTTGGGAGTTGGGATCTAGGTTTGGATCCGAACCCAAATATCGATCTTTTTGTTTTTTTCTAAACAAAATTTAAAAGTACGGTGTAGTATATACTTTCCGATATTGCATATCCAACGATTACTTAGAGCCTGTTCTTATTAACTGAAGTGATCTAAATTGAATATTTTATGAGAGAAAAAAATTAAAAACTGAACTGATAATTTACTGAATTGAATTAAACTGAAATGAATTGAATTAAAATGAATCGATTGGAGTTGAACTGAACTAAACTGAAATAAATTATTTATGAGAGAAAAAAATTAAAAACAAACTAAAATGAGCTGATTGGAGCTGAACTGAACTAAACTGAAATTAAGTTGAAGAGAATAAGCCCGAGCTTTAGAGAAGTAGACTCCCCCTTGTTGAAACGTAGTTCGCATAATTATAATATCAAGTATGTGTACCATAAAAAATTAGTATAAAAAAATTCTTAAATTAGGTGACGACAGCAAAGCATGTCCTAAGCTAGTGCAACTTCAAAACGAATCAGCAAATTTTACAACCGAAGGGTTCAAGCGAGGCCTCTCAAAATTGGAGACCTCGTCCTTCGGAACGCTGCTGCAGTACAGAAAAACATAATTCACGGGAAACTCTCAGCGGTCTGGGAGGGACCCTATGAAGTCTATGATGAGCTTCAGCCAGGAACATACCGACTTCGGCAGTTGGATGGAACTGAGTTGAAAAATCACTGGAATGCTGATGTACTTAAGAAATATCATGAGTAAACCCTTCGGGGCAGAACAATCTTTGTAAGTACATTTTGAATCATTAATTAAAGGCCTCAGAGCCACCATTTCTATAAATATTTGCAACCTTTTGTTCTTTCAAATTTTCTTTATTCTATCTACTCTTTAAGGGTTTTTATTCAGCCTTGTCTGAAACCTTCGCCTCTGGGTAATTGGGTTTCAAATTGCTGACAAACTCGTCTTTTTAAAGAACTCTGGTCTCTTAGTTGAATTCAAACTTCAGTAAGACTTGTTCTCCAAAGACATGAGTCCATGGACAAGTCTGAGATATTGCCTTGTCTTGTATCCCAGAAAGCCATTATCCGAAACATCGCCTTCAGTTGGCCCTGTGTTTCGGATATCCATTTCTAAAAGATAGACAGAAAACCAAGGACAACAGCAACTGTTAGAAATTTTTTATTCAGCTTCGTCTGAAAGTTAAAGAAACAAAACCCAACTCAGTAATCCAAAGACTTGATTCTTCAGATTTCTGGGGGGGCAAGAGGCACTATTAGTGCAAGTTTATCTTCAGCAGAATTCTTCAAACTGAAAGCTTTGTACTTAGCAAATTTTTGCGAAAATTTCAAAGTTCAGAAACAGTATAGCATTCAAAATAAGACAAGGCAGTTGAGGAAAAAGCATCAGATTAATGAAAGGCTCAGAAAGTGAGCTACAAAGTTCAAATAAATTAAAAAGCTTATATCGGCAGCCGCCCACAAGCGGAAAATAACAGCTGCCGAAATACGTACAAAAACAAAAATAAATTGTTTGTACATCAAGGCAAGCTGAAGCAAAAAGATAAGGCAAAAAGAGATTCAAAAAGCGGCGAGTCTGAAGTTAAGCACATGTTGATCCGCAAGACTCTGAAGACGACTGCCCGATTTCCTATGCTTCAGCCGAAGGATCAGGCTGGTCAGCTGGGTCTAGCCCCGGGGCAGTCTCGGCTCCAGCAGCAGAGGAAGCAGGTTGGGCCCTTTCTTGAGCTTCGGCGGGTCGCTGTTCAGCCTCCAGCTCCTGCCGCTCAGCTTCCTCCTCGGCTTGTTCAGCCTGAAGGATCTCATGCTCAGCAGGAGTGGCATACAGCATGTGCGGATCCTCGGGGTCCTGAGCCCAAAGTGCGCACTTAGACCAATCCAGCGAGGGCTCAGCATGGAGAGCCAACCTTCGAGCCACCTTAAACCCATTTATGTAGCCCATCTCATACTCTTCTTAGGTGTCAGCCAATTTCTTTTGACTCTCCTCCAAATCCTTTTTAGATTTTTCTAATTCTTCTAAGAGTTTGGAGGAAGAAGTCTTCTGCTCATTAAGCTCCAGCTGGACGTTGGAAGCTTCGGTTTTGGCCTGGGTCAGCTCATCTCCCTTGGCTCTCAGCTGATCCTCCAACTCCTTCAGCTTCTGGTCTTGGCTCTCAGCAGCAGCTTGGGCAGCAGAAAGGTGAACATCCCTAACCTGTTGAGCCTCTTCAGCAGCCATCCTGCTGGCTTCAAGAGCTTTCAGCTGCTGCTGCACTTCATCTTGTGCAGCAGCTCCTTCTTGAATTCGGCTCTCGATGGCAGCTTTAAATTTGGAGATGTCCACACCCATTTGCTCCTGAAGGAATTTCTCCCCTTCTATCAGCGGGGGTAAAA